GGGATATATGTACACCTATGGCTGATTCATGTTGAGGTTTGACAGGAAACAACAAAATTCTGCAAAGCAATTATCCTTCAATAAAAAATACATTAATTAACAAAAAAGAAAAAAAAAAGCAAGCCCCTCTCTTACAAAAGGGATTCTGTAATAAATCACCAACTCCCTTTCCCTTTCCTTAATATCTTAAAGAGGATCTTCTTCTTGCTGGGAGAAATACTAGTGGGATATGTATAGTAACAGGCTGACTGAGAAGAGGGGGAAGGACAAGAAAAGTTTCTTTGCGTGAAGAAGGCTTGGAGGTACTTAACCAACTCTGCTATATGAGGAAAGTGATTAGAACTTTGAAACAGCATTTTAGTAAGTTTGTTGTGAACTAATTACAGATCTCTCAGAGACATAAGGGGCTTCCCAGGTAACTCAGCTGGTGAAGAATCCACATGTAATGCAGGAGACCCTGGTTTGATTCCTGGGTCAGAAAGATCCCCTGGAGAAGGGATAGGCTACCCACTCCAGTATTCTTGGGATTCCCTGGTGGCTCAGATGGTAAAGAATCCACCTGCAGTGCAGGAGGCCTGGGTTCGATCCCTGGGTTGGGAAGATCCCCTGGAGGAGGGCACGGCAACCCACCCCAGTATTCTTGCCTGGAGAATCCCCATGGACAGAGGAGCCTGGTGGGCTCCAGGCCATGGGGTCGCAAAGAGTCAGATGGCTGAGCGACTAAGCACAGCACAGCACAAACACATAATGTTTACTTAATAATTCTTTACGGCTATTGAAATGTACTTATTGACTACAACACAACTCTAACATCGAATTATATGATGCCAAGACTTTTGAGGATGGCCACGCTAAATTAAATTAGAGGTTCAGTTCCACATAGCTTCAAAAATCTTCTCAGGCTCAAACAGGGCCCCTTCTGTCTTTTTTTTCCCCTAACTTCTCCACCCTCCCCCAACACCTGACAAACACTTATTAAATTCCATTTGGTGATAGAGATACAAGGTTGAGTTCAATATAGGCCTTTCCTGGGGGAGTTTTCCCAGGGGGTCCAGGCTCTGGATAGCCTGGTGTATCTCCAGCCTGTGGGCTTGGAAGAATTGGGTTGAGACTGTCTCCAGCTACAAAGTAGCTGGTGACTTGATTTCCCATCTATTCTAGTCCATTCTGTTTCAAATTCATCCTCTTCTTGAATCACTTTCTTTTCAAGTCTGGCTATATCCCACCCGTGGAAGCCAGGCCATTCCCAGTCTGGCACCAATTTTATATTAATAATATGAGAGGATGAGAAAGCTTAGTCACAAAGAACCAAGTGTTTAAGTAAATGTCTCCTTTGCTTAAAGCAAAATGAAGCAGGGTACGTGAAATGTTTCTAGAAAACAACTAGAATGAGCTGCAAAGGACATCCATCCACTGACATTTCCTTCTCATAGCAGTGACATTAGCAAAAAGACATATTCTTTCTTTCACTTAATGTTTGTGGAACACCTCTGGATTTAAAGGTCATATTTTGAGGTCATCTGTGAATACATCAATATTTCAACATTGCTTTATTATCTTTAAATGTATGTTTCAACATTTTTTATTCTATCTACTGAGTATGTTCATCTATAATTAACAGCAACAATTACAACTACAACAAACCACTTCAGTGCTTAAACAAGTGAGAGGTGTTTTGTCTGTGTTTAACAGGATGGCTGGGGATAAGCAGTCCAGGCTGCAATAGCTGCTCAACGAGGTCCAAGGATCAGGCTCAGTCTGGCCTCCTGCTCTGCCATCCACAGTGTACGGCTTCTGTCCAAGTGGCCACAGCATGGTCACTGTGCATCCAGGAAAGAAGGAAGGGGGAGAGCAAATGTGGTTTCTTCAACCCAGGCTTTATTCCAGAAGGAAAAGCCTCCACAGAGACTTGTGCCTGTATTTAGTTGACCACAGTAGTCACATGGCCTCCTCTAGCTGCAAGAGTCTGGGAAGGTAAGTATTTTGCTTTCTGACCTCTGAAACAGAAGCATGCAAGGGGAAAGGGTGTAGGACTGGGTGTCAACTTAACTCCTTATGTATATAACAATGAATGCAACTTAGAGCTGCCTTCCTCCTCTGCAACCTATGAAATGGTTTCACAATAACAAGAATTATGAAGGCAAAGTGGCTTCTAAATTATGAAATGCTTTGTGAATGTTATTACAGGGTATATTTAAATGATCCATTGAATTTTCAACTTCTAAGGAATTTTATGAAAACACTGTTCATCTGTTAGTTTGATTCCATACTTGGTCTATCAGAAATATATACTCTCATACCTATGCCTGATTCATGTTGATGTTTGGCAGAAATCAACAAAATTCCATAAAGCAATAATCCTTCAATTAAAAAATAAATTTTGTAAGAAGAAAAAAAAAGAAATATACACTCTCAACCAATAAGATAGCACAATTTTCTTTCTTGCCTATTCTTAATTATTATAGATACTCATTTTGGATCACCTTGAGTGAACATTTCCCTTTCTATTCCCAGCTGTTCTGTTGTCTTCACATTTATCTCTTTGTATCTGAGAGCAGGAGCTATACCTGTATTATAGGAAGAAAGAAATTGCCAACTCACTGTCTGGCTGTGTATTCTTCTTCCTTTTCCTTTTTTGTTCTTCTTCCTTTTTCTACTGCACATTCTATCTTAGTGCTGGTTTATTGAGTTTAGTAGCTGCATCCAGACAGCTACATGCCAGTCATGTGTACCCTGATTACTCATTATGAGCCTTAGGATCCCATACAACTCACTAATGAGCACATTATAATGCTGGCCAGTGCTAATTAGATGATAATCATGTGCATTGCTTTATTTACAGTCTATCCATTTAAATTAATTGGGTATTTCACTGAACACAGTGTGAAAGAAATTGGAATTGGATTTCAGTTAATTTCACCTGCCATCTCTTATAGGCAGGTGAGATTGTTCACTTGACCTGGAAATTTATAGCAATACAAGTGGACATAATACTTATTTTATAATAGTACACACGTATATGTAAATTTATCTCAAAACGTGTTTGGAAAGAGCAGCCAAATTTGCAATTTTTTATCTCCACTAATATCCTTATTGATCTGATTGCAGAGAGATTCTACATGCATAAGACATATTAATAAATCCAACTCATTAGTTGGAAATATAATGTGGGATCCTAAAACAGACTGATGAGAATATTCTGATATTTTCTTCAGATAGGAAACTTACCTTTAGTGCGTTAAAAAATATGTGGTGAACTATACCTAATTATGATCCTATGTATTTTCCTCTTTAAGGACATAACATCCAAATATTACTGGATTTACATTTTTAAATGAACGTACGATTGCCAAAAATTGTATGCATGACTGCATCATTAAATTCAAAATGCCTTTTTATTGAAATAATTTCCCAAGAGCACAGGTAGAATAGAGCTAGAGTAACAACATGAAAAAGTGCTTCTAGACAAAAAGTTGGAGGCCAACTCTTCTATTTTTTTCTCAAATATTAACATTTCTGGTTCATAGGCACCTGCTTCCATACAATTTTGAAACTCATAAACGGCAGAATTTCTTTAGGCATCTCTCATTCTTGAGAATAGTTTGCTGGGAATAAAATTCCAGAACAAAAATAATTTTTCCCTCAGAATTCTCAAGGCAAATCTTTAGGTCTTCTGACTTTCAGTGTCACAGTCAAGAGGTCCTATGTCATTATGCTTCTTTATTATATGTTCCCCTTCTCTCGGAAGCTTTTAGTATCTTCTCCTTTGCCTCAGCCTTCCAAAATTGCATAATGGTGTGCCCAGGTAAGATCTTTGTTTATTTATTATATTTGACATGTTGTGAACTCTTTCAAGTTGAAAATTCATATCCTTCAACTATAGGACATATTCTTGGACTATTTAATCATGTTTCCCCGCAGTTTTCTCTGAACTTTCTTTCCAGAGCTGCTGTTAGCTAATTATTGCATCTCCTGGATTGTTCCTCTATGTCTTTTTCTACTTCTCAGGTCTTTTTGTCCTACCCTCAGAGAAATTTTCCCAACTTTATCTTCTAATCCTTGTATTTTTTTCTTCCATAAAGTTTTATTCACTGGGGTTATGGAAAGAGTTTGAACACAGCAGAACCCATCCTGAAAACATTAGAAATTACAGAAAGACTTAAGATAGTGTCGGTCACAACAGATTAAGCAAGTCTTTCCATCACTGAGAAACAATAATGTAAAATTGTAGAAACCACATCTTCATGAGTGGTACAGGATACATGACAAAAATGAAGACATTGGCAATCCCTGACATTGTAAAATAAACTTGCAACTTTATTTACTTCTGTATTTTTGAAGTTGTAATTCAAGTGTTTTCCCAAATCATTTCAAACCATCTCCAGTCAAGCTCTTCCCCCTCATCAATAACTTCCAAGTATCTTATTTCAAAAATAATTTAATCATCCATTCTATTCCAGGAAACTGGCAGCCTCCCAGCACATAGCTTATGTTCTTCCTCTGAAACAAAAACTTAAAACAAATGGATGTTGGTCTTTTTTCTTCAGTGTTACAGGATAAGCACATGCTTCCTACAAAGCATAATTCCTTCTGGAAGATATCTTTATTCTGCAACTTACTTATCACTGCCACTTGTCACAAGGAGAATGCTGCCCTCTACCCTCTCCGTTTCTAACTTCACAACGATCAGTGCTTCTGTCCTAACTAGTTAACCTGTTAAACCACCTGCGTGGTAATTCACCAGGAAACACTGGACCAGAGACATAAATAATACACCACGATATGATAGCTCAGGCTTAATTTGCAGAATTTCATTTGTTGGCCATGGGAAGAAAACACTTACACAAGGTAAAATCCACTGTTTTCACTTCATGCTGGGATTTGGAGAAACAAAGGACAGTAACCAACGTGAACGGGGTGAAGAGGAGGACAGGACCCAGGATAGAGCCCCCTGCTCCAGCCGTACGGCAGAATCTAGTCCAGTAAATGTTGGCAATCCCTGACATTGTAAAATAAACTTGCAACTTTATTTACTTCTGTATTTTTGAAGTTGTAATTCAAGTGTTTTCCCAAATCATTTCAAACCATCTCCAGTCAAGCTCTTCCCTCTCATCAATAACTTCCAAGTATCTTATTTCAAAAATAATTTAATCATCCATTCTATTCCAGGAAACTGGCAGCCTCCCAGCACATAGCTTATGTTCTTCCTCTGAAACAAAAACTTAAAACAAATGGATGTTGGTCTTTTTTCTTCAGTGTTACAGGATAAGCACATGCTTCCTACAAAGCATAATTCCTTCTGGAAGATATCTTTATTCTGCAACTTACTTATCACTGCCACTTGTCACAAGGAGAATGCTGCCCTCTACCCTCTCCGTTTCTAACTTCACAACGATCAGTGCTTCTGTCCTAACTAGTTAACCTGTTAAACCACCTGCGTGGTTATTCACCAGGAAACACTGGACCAGAGACATAAATAATATACCACGATATGATAGCTCAGGCTTAATTTGCAGAATTTCATTTGTTGGCCATGGGAAGAAAACACTTACACAAGGTAAAATCCACTGTTTTCACTTCATGCTGGGATTTGGAGAAACAAAGGACAGTAACCAACGTGAACGGGGTGAAGAGGAGGACAGGACCCAGGATAGAGCCCCCTGCTCCAGCCGTACGGCAGAATCTAGTCCAGTAAATGGGGACTTCACAACCCCCGCACTACACCTTGAATCTATAAATCAACATTCCTGACTGGTAACCCTTTTTAATACCTGTCCTTTTCTGCCCCTTTCAGTCTGAGAGTGCCCAAAGTATAAGTCCTGCTTTCTCTCCTCATCCTTAGAGATGGATGAATCTGCTTTCACATGCAAGAAAACTTAAATCAAAAAACAGCCAGTCTTCCGTCCTTCTGTTCTTCTCCATGTGCCCTTGGTCCAGCTCAGTAGATATTTGTCAAGTGCCTAGTCTAGACCAGGCTCTGTGTACCGCAAGTGTTCAAAATGCAAGGGATGGTTCTCTACCCCTGGGGAATTCCAAGTCTTATTTCCTCCACATCACGATGTCTTGCTAATTCCCATGGAGTAACTGGGACCGGTGAAAGCACTGGATGATGGCTGCTTGACATTGGATTCTTACTGCCAATGACCCTGGTTTCTTTCATTTTCTATATACAGACATTTAAAACTAAATTATTATTGAAGGTAAACTAGCTCAGGTCCAATGTATATCTGTAAAAGTAAAATATCATTATTTCTACTTAAAGGAAAAAAAAAACAGTCCATGGCACTCCTGTAATTGGTATACCATCTGTGCATAGAATCTCACAAGTGAGGTCAGCTGATGGGGGCTCCTGTGGTAACAAGTTTGTAATAGGCCCCTTTCTGAGCCATCAGTTCTTCGTGGGTCCCCTTTTCAACCACTATCCCCTGTGACATGACAGCAATGATATCTGAGTTCCGGATGGTGGACAAACGATGGGCAATGACAATGCAGGTTCGACCTTCTCTGGCTTTGTCCAGGGCGACTTGCACCGTCTACAAAGAGAAGATGGAAAGTTGGTACAAAGACATATATTTGTTCCCTAGTCCACTATTGCCTGAGTTCTGCTTCACACCACCTGAGTAACATCACTATATTCAGGGCTTGATATGAGAGAGAGGTTTAAAGAAATACTTGCTGAATGCAACGCATCAATGACTTAAATTGCATTCCATAGGCTGAAAAATTTCACTGAACCTGTAATGAACCAAACTATGAGACCATGAAGTAATTTTACGATACTCAATGGGCTAGTTTACTATTAATGAAATGAAACCAGGGAAACAATGTAAGGTACTAGGTAGGTGGTCATTCCCTACCATTCTTCACTGAGGACAATTTAGCTGTCTCCAAAACAGAGTCTTAATTTTTAAGGAGTTAATTATAAATGGTAAATTTCATATTTGTGTTTTGCCCAATTGCATTTACTTTCATGCAAAATGCACGTCAGAAACCACCTCTTACTTTGTTTTGTATGCTTCCCATCTGCTCTGTCACAGAACTTTAAAACTGTAAAATATGAAATGCCTAACGGATGGCCAGGATTATTTTATTTTACTTAAGATAGCTAATCATTTGCCCTTGAAAAAAATGTCACCTAACCTAAACAATTTTAAAAACAATTCTTATCTTAAAGTTAAATTTTTTTTTAATTTGAAGCAATTTTAAATCCTTTTTCTAAACTAATGTCTTTTGGTTCTGCAAAGGAGTAGCCATTTCTACTGTTAATGAATCAGAAAATTAACAACACTACCATTTTATAAGGACAAATATTACAGCAAGAGACTCATTTACAATGGTCTAAGGCTTAGAAAATCAATACCTACCTTTTCACTTTCTGTGTCTAAGGCAGAAGTAGCTTCATCAAGTAGCAAGATTTTCGGATCCCGTACGATGGCCCGAGCAATAGCAATGCGCTGTTTCTCTCCTCGAGAGAGTTGAGACCCCTGGGACCCAACGTTAGTTTCATATTTCTGGAAAACATATGGTAAATTTGAGAACCAGAAGCATGCTCCTGCGCTTTATGGAGCCCCCATCAATGACTCCTCAGGATTTAAACAATTTGTTGTTTTGTGAAATTGTGAATCCTTTCTATAAAGGACTTCAATTCCTAGGATCTAAAAAAAATATGACATTTGTGACCTTTCATGCTGGAAAACAAGGGGACTTTGTATCCTTTTCTCTGTATTTATTTTTTAATCTCTTTCTCCTTGTGTATGAGATCCTCCCTGATGTAAGATTCCCTGATTTCCAATCTCCTGTCTGGAATATCTTTCCAAGACAGAATGGTCCTAGGATGTCAGGACCTTTGGGAGATCTTCTTATCCATCCCCTTGTTGAGGTGGCATTGTTCTGGAATGCAAGCCTTGCTTTGAATTTCACTCTTGCTGTATACTAGCTCTGTGATCATGAACAAATTATTTAAATTTTGTGAGCTGCAAACTCACCTGAAAATGCAGATATTGATAACTAGTTCACATATTTGTCATTTTTATGAAATTATGGAAGAGAATCCCTTGCTGAATGCTTGCATAAAAAAAGTTACATTCACAGAGTATTTACTGATTCACAGAGCATCAGGTATGGTACTAACTACTCTAGCCAGATTATCATTTAATGTTCACAGAAATAATTTTCTCCCTATCACCTATTTTTCAGTTTCTTTTTTGAAAAATTTTCAGTTTCCATGTTTTCATTTTCTTTGTGATTGAACACCAAGAAAGACCATTGTTGAATGGAAAAATTTAGGGTCAATGTTACACTGCATTCAGACTTGGCTCTGGGAAAGTGAGGCTTACTCCAAACCAAGTGCAACTTACTCTACATGTATAGTAGTTGCTGCCAAGTAATGGAATGACAATGACAGTAATAACAGAAGCAGCTTTCTTTGTGTGGCTGTTTTGTATACTCTTTCATTCTAAGTTATCTTTTACCTTTTTGTAGAATGACTGTCTCAGAAAAGAAAAGTAGTTATCCCAAAGTTACAGAAATAATTTTCCACTAGAAAGTGACATCACTTGGATTCAAATCAACGTCTGCTCCAAATCTCAGGATTTTTTTTTTTCATTATGCTAAGCTGATACTCAGGGCTTCCCTAGTGGTTCAGACTGTAAACAATCTTCCTGCAATGCAGGAGATCTGGGTTTGATCCCTGGGTGAGAAAGATCCCCTGGAGAAGGGAACAGCCACCCACTCCAGTATTCTTGCCTGAAGAATCCCATGAACAGAGCCTGGAAGTCTACAGTCCATGGAGTCGCAAAGAGCTGGACACAACCAAGTGACTGAGCACACACACGCAAGCTGCTGCTCAACGTGGTATTACTTTTTGTACAACAAGTTCTATAACATACCTTGCATTGGATAATATAATACTGTTCAAAATTAAAGACTAGGGACTTTCCTGGCAATTCAGTGTTAAGACTTCACTTTCCAATACAGAGATTGTGGGTTTGGTCAAGGTCAAACAACCAGAACTCAAACAACAGAGGCAATATTGTAACAAATTCAATGAAGACTTTAAAAATGGTCCACATCAAAAAAAATTTTATAAAGCCCTAAAGATTATGTTGATGAAGGACATTTATTTTGCATAAAAGGCTGAGACAATCCCAGGGCACTGGGGATTAAGATGTGTTGCCTTTGACCTTCTCCTTGAGCCACAGTCATAATGCCTTTCTGGTCATTCTACCTCTCTCCCTCCCTGTCTCCCATTAGGAATGACTCAGACTGGGTACCTACCTCTGGGAGGGACATGACAAAGTCATGCAGCTGAGCCTGCTTCGCAGCTTCTATAACCTTTTCCATGGGGATTTCTTTGGTGTTGTCTCCATACTTGATGTTGTCCATTATGCTACAGGCAAACAACACGGGTTCCTGGGAAACGATTCCAATGTTTGAGCGGAGGAACTGGACGTTTACATTTTTGCTGTCATGCCCATCTATCATCTGCCAACAGAGGTGACAACCAGGGCACTGAATTTTAGAATTCCAGCAGTGAGGAAAGTTCATATCCTAGAGTTAATGTTATGCAAGATGCGTGCTTTGCTCAAGAGACAACAAACTCAGGATTCTTGGAAATAAATTATGCTGCCTTTGACCTCTGGAGGTGGTGTCTGCCAGAAGCGGTGTCAAAGTTGTGATAAGACATGGTTTAGTTTGTTTGCTTCCCAAACTCTAGCTCTGCAGGTGGTATTAAACAAGAAAGGCACTCAAGACAGACCTAGTTTAAAAAACAAAAACTTCCCTTATCTTCTGGTGTAGCACATCCTCTCCAAGTACACATAATTGCTCAATTTTGAGACTTCATGGGTTATGAAGTGGGGTTTCCTATGTAAAGCTATTGGACAGTATAAGAATCAAACCTGTTGATTTCAATGATACTAACCTCTGAATGATTAAAGACAGTGAAGAAGTAAGTAAGAAAGGAGTACATTTATTCACTTGGTCAACCAACAGACATATACAGAATAATCTACTACAAAGGCACCATGCTAGGTAGTCTTTGGTATGACATAGGAAAAAAAATCTCTATTTTCTAGGAACTCATGATATATTTTTATGATTGAATAGCATTATGGACTCAATGGACATGAACTTGGGCAAACTCCAGGAGATAATGAGGGGCAGGGAGGCCTGGTGAGCTGCAGTTCATGTGGTTGCAAAGAGTAGGACACAACCTAGTGACTGAACATCAATGACAACAACATGATTTATTTAGGCAGTTGAGTACAGGAATTCAAACATCTACCATGTGAGCCCTTTCACTTAAAAGACCTAGAACAGTAAAAGGACAGTATGTCTAACATACTACTATAAAGTATTTAGCCCCATGATTTCAGAAAAAGATTACATTAAGTGGTATGAATATACTATATTTTAGATAATTTTTTGGCAGCATAAAACACAAACACTACTATTGAAGAAGTAAGTAAGAAAGGAGTACATTTATTCACTTGGTCAACCAACAGACATATACAGAATAATCTGCTACAAAGGCACCATGCTAGGTAGTCTTTGGTATGACATAGGAAAAAAAATCTCTATTTTCTAGGAACTCATGATATATTTTTATGATTGAATAGCATCATGGACTCAGTGGACATGAACTTGGGCAAACTCCAGGAGATAATGAGGGGCAGGGAGGCCTGGTGAGCTGCAGTTCATGTGGTTGCAAAGAGTAGGACACAACCTAGTGACTGAACATCAATGACAACAACATGATTTATTTAGGCAGTTGAGTACAGGAATTCAAACATCTACCATGTGAGCCCTTTCACTTAAAAGACCTAGAACAGTAAAAGGACAGTATGTCTAACATACTACTATAAAGTATTTAGCCCCATGATTTCAGAAAAAGATTACATTAAGTGGTATGAATATACTATATTTTAGATAATTTTTTGGCAGCATAAAACACAAACACTACTATAAAAAGTATATGGCATTCCTCAACAATTAACCCTTGCTCCCCTTCCTTTATACACTTTCCATAGTACTTACACACTGCAAAGCACTAATAATTAAGTACTGGAACTGTTTGCTAATTGTTGTCTATGTGTGAGTATTGTAAGCTCCCAGAAGACAGAAGACATGCTTCATGCTCCTTAGAATTTCCCACAGGAACTAATCTGGGCACATCACAGGCACCCAATTAAACGCTAAAAACGTTGAATGCCTGCATTTGTTAGCTTCCTTAAAAGCAAAGAGGATTTTTAAAAATTGCATTAAAGGTGGTATTTTTCTAACTGAAAAATGTCTGTAATAACATTTTACAATGATATAATAAAATAAATTGTGTCTATAAAATGCTAGGAAACATTTTTCTCATGGGCATTGCTTTCTACCTGTGACCAGAACATTCACTGAGTACATTCAGAGAAATATGCTTAATATACATGTTAATATTAAGGAAGTTGAACATGAAGGATTCGAATTCCTGCATGTCATGTAGTTCACAGTCTACCCAGGTGATGGTCATGAAAGATCTGACATTTGGTTAAATTGGATCCTCTCCTTTGCAGAGATCAGACCCCCAGTGCCATGTACTTTCTAGAGTCATCAACCACCAAATAATTTCAAACAAATAAAATCCCTATACCTAAAATTAATAAGAGAAGTGATTATAATCTTCAGATAATCAACTGTTACTCCTTATTTTCATAATTTCCTGGATTTTACCATCATTGGTTTGCTTGTTTCCCTGTTTTGCTTTATGCAAAGGAGACTTTAGTTACCTCTTTCAAATTTCCCTCAGCATTTCTCCTCATCATGCTATCTATCCTCATTGCAAAGACAATTACATTATTTAGGGATATCAAAAAGTCTTTTTTCAAACTATGTGGATTAAATCAGACCCACACCTCTGAATCATTTTTTAGAAAACTACTTACAGATGCACTCCAACAAAATAAGAGGGGAAGCTAAAGAGGAAAACACATGAACTAGGAAATAATGGATCTAATCCAAAAGATACTGTGGGAAACTCATAGATTGACAATTGTTTAACATATATAGGATGTAATTAGTCCGGGTTGTGGCAGAAAGAAAGGAAAGAACCAGGTTCCTCAGAGTAAGTGTCAGTATAGAACATGGGAAGAACCTAAAGATTTTATAAAGGCAGAGAATACAAGAAAAAAAGAAAGCCTTTCAGAAAAGCAAGAAAGGAAACTGTGATGCTAATGTACCTCACTACTTAGCTATGTGATGAACAATATTTCCATAGCCATAATAAAAGTTAATATATTTTCAACTTTTAGAATCAGCCTAGAGGAAAAGCATGAAAGACAGTAAATAGTAAAATAAAAAGCAAGCATTTTATATTCTTGATAAAATAAAAGCGTAGCTATTAGGGATTGAGTGGCAAAAAAAGAGGGCAGGGAGGAAGAAGTAAAAATAGAGGTAGAATTGCTAATCTCATCTTAGAAAATGAGAATTCAAGAGATGTTATCTACAGGTGATGGAAAAGCAACAGAACTGTATTAATTAACTTTACAAAAACAGGAGCTTTTAAAAGTAATATAACCATATTAGGAGGAGGTGGGTCAAAGGAGGGGAAAGGAGGAGGGTAAGCTTAATTTCCATCTCTTGTGAATAAATCAACAGAGGGTCTAAATTTGTTAAATCATGAAATAGCAACACGTGCATATTATTTAGGGACACTGAGGTAATTGTTGGGAGATCTAAAAACATCAAGCGATTAAAAATAGTTGCCTTTGAGCAGAAAAAGGGGGATGGGGTGGAAATGGTGGAATAAAGGTTGATTTTGTTTTGTTTTGCTGTGTTTTTTACAAATATTTCTTATTTTACTTTGTAATCCTCTGCATATATTATTTGGAAAGATGGAAAGGAAAAAGAAAAGAAGAGAAAGAAATTCTGTGGAAAATAAGCAACAAAGCAAGCCACCAATTTTTCAAATATCTTTACCAAAGATTTAAGGCACATGACTACCAATTTGAGACCCTTTAATATTTAGACTTTAGCTTCTTGAACCAGGATTGTCTCAGATTTTTCATATTAAATTCCATTTCTTACTCATTTATCATTATGTTTCTCATCACCCCCACTTTTTCTGTTCCCAGTCATTAGTTTCCTGATTAGTCTGCACTTTCTGCCCCATTTACAGGTAAGTGAATGCTTCTATTAAGTGCACTCATCTCCAGCTTTGCAGTTTTCTTTGCCTATCTGGTCAGGAGACCATCTGGAACTGGGAAGAATGAATCTAACATTAGAAATTGTGAGGTAGAATCAGGTCAAGCAGCAAATGACTGGACCTGGAGAATACTGCCCAAGGCAAGCACTTCAGAATGAGTCTGGTAAGGCACAACCTTGAAGACCCCCTTTTAGAAGTTAGAGATTCTCTGCAGAAAGCTAAATTCTCAAATGCATTTGCATTGCTTACCACCTTCCCTTGGTCAGGATCATAGAAACGTTCCAATAGCTGAATGCTGGTGCTTTTACCACATCCACTGCTCCCAACAAATGCCAGGGTTTTCCCTGGACCAACAGACACTGAAAGACCATTCAGAACTTGTACATCTGGTCGGGAAGGATACGTAAATTTACAGTCAACAAAGTCAATCTGTCCCCGGAAGTTGTCCTGTAAATGGAAAAATCAGAATTATATATTCTCCTACTAGAATCTAGACTGTTGACAATGCACCTAAGTCTGAGTTTTAAATCCTTTCTTAAGATACCTTCAACACCAAACTGCCAAAATGCAAAGTATAAGGACAGCAACTTAATGAAACAGCATTCTATTCCCTACTTTAACAGATGTAGAATAAAGGGAGGGTGGGGCATTAAATTTAAAGATATTTGATCAGGAGATCAAATATTCCCCACTCTAACCTAAAGGGATTTCCTTGTAAGTCTTTGACATTCTGCATGGAAGAGAAGAGATGATTACATTACAGAAGCCAGTAACTATGCAAACTCCTACAGTTCTGTTCCCCCAAAGATTTAAAATAATAACTTAACACTTGAAATGACCTCCATAGAAAGTTACTTGAACCCTGAATTGCAAAGGTGAAAACCTCCAGTTGTTCTATCTGACATGTGAACTCTAGAAATGGACAGACATTTAATAAACCACATAGAGACTTGCCTTTTACTGAGCTGAAGGAGAAATTGGGCATTTGACCAATTTTAAGATTTCTGAATTTAGTTAACTTTATCGGGGTTTAGGTTGTTTTGCTCTCTTGAACATACTGGGATATTAAAAATCAAGCAAGGAAGATCTAAAAAGACACCTGTAGGGACTATCAATTAGAAAAATTGATATTTCATTGAGATCAAATGGATTTTCTGAGTGTCCACATGAAGGCTTGTGGAACCCAGATAAACATGAAATAAGTCAGTACTACTGGACAGGAGAAACTGGTTTTTCTACATTCCATAGCAGAACATCAGTAAAATCATGGTGATTGCACAAGTCTCAAAGACTTATAGCTTCATTCATTCTGGAACTAAGTGTGTTTTATAGTAACTGTGTATTATAAAACAAGTATTCACTGGATAGAATTGCCTTATTCAAATGTCAGCTTTATGAATAATTTTGATGCTAATATACTTCATTCCTTTACATTGATAAATCTACTATCTGCTCATTCTAAGTGCATATGAATGCACCCATATACTGCAGAATTTCGAAGCTAAGTGGTCTTAAATAACCAGCCCCAGTGGCTGTTCAGGAGACACACACTGCACTCCTTACCCCCACCTCCAGTACTTACCCATCTTTCACCTGCACTGCTGTAGACCTTGATTGCGGGTCGTCGGTCCAGCAGTTGGAAAAAGCGAGCAGCTGAGATTTTAGCTTTGGCATAACTTGGTGTGTAAGAGGAGGCTCTCCCAAGAGCTGTCGCACTCAGGACAACTGAAGAGATCACTCTGCAATCAGACAGACACCCAGCTAGGAAGGGCGCATGTGGTTGGTGTGGTGGCCTAAGAGGCCAGAGTTCGGGGGGGCCTAGTCTTGGAAAGGACTGAGCAGCCTTGAACAGGTCTCTTTAGACTTATCTGGGAATAGGAAGTTGGGGAGATGAACGCTGTTTAAGTTGTGTTCTAACAAGAAAGGGCAAGGTGAGGATGGCACAAATGGGGTTCAAACCTCCAAACCCAGCTTCAAGTAGAGCAGCCTTTAAAAAAAATTGAGAAAAGGAGTTCTTGGGGAAATAAAGAGAGTGGTTGAAAGATCACCAGATTGCTTTGGACTTTTTTATTGGGGCCGGTGAAAAAGTTCATTGGAATTTCTTCAAAGTTGTTATGGAAAAACCCAAATGAACTTTTTGGTCAATCCAATACAATGTGAACATTCTATGAATTTATGATCAGTGTGTGAAAGACAATGATTGGTGATATAAGCATCAATTCTGTACCAAGCAGGCATGTAATTCATGCTTCAGACTGCATGAGAAAGATGTGATCGCCTGAATCCTTCTACTCATCCCAGCTTATGCACATTGTGTGTGCTTGTGCTGAGCTGCTTAGTCGCTCGGTTGTGCCCGATTCTTTGTATGTTTTACTGCTGAGTTTATAAGCAGAAATGGTTTTAGGGCAGACCTGCAAACCCAAACATTTCCAGGATCCCAGTCTAAAGCTTAAAGCAATGACAAGCACCTGGAATAAAAGAGGGAGTGATGGAAGGTCATCTTTCAGTTTTTAAAGAGAAGCCAGAAATCGGGAGTTTTCTATTTTTTCTGATTTTTGCATGTTGGCAAATAATTCTTCAAAAATCTTATCTAAACTAAATAAGTCAACAGTTTGTGATTTCCAATTTGGGGTTAGTAGCTCTAAATATGCAAAAATTTAGAAAAGAGACTTTCTAGCGGGTAGGGGCTGTCGTGGGGCAGAAGAAAAATTTTCCTTTATTTCTAGGAGAAGATAGAAGGCAAGAGGACAGAACTGGTTCATGACTTGAAAACAGACTTTTACTAGGACTGATTTTCCTAATGTCCTCCAGGGTTTTCTCAGACCATCTCCCCCTCATCTTTCCAAGGTCCTCCACCCCATCACACCACACTCATATGCATGTACACCCAGTTCCTTGGTACCCTGACACCCTCAGGCTCTGGAAATGTGAGAAACTGGACTCAAAGCTAATCTTCTTAGAAGAGCTTATAGAAGAGCTATAAGAAAGGAACATGATTCCCCTGACTGGGTCTTTGCTATCTCCACCTAGGAAGAGTCAGCTGGAGACTTGCCTTCTTAGCAAGAAGTAGAGTTCAAATAAAGTAGATCTATGAACCATCTTATTTTAGACTNGAGTCAGACATGACTGAGTAACTGAACTGAACTGAACTGAACTCTATACATCCCTGTGCAATATGACTTTTTACTCCTCTGTGATATTGGGACTTATAGTAAGAAATACATATTTGGTCTTCTGTCAGTTTCTGGCTTGGAGCTCCTAAAACTGTGGATTTTCCCAAATTTTGAGAGGATCAATGTGTCTTGTGTTATGTTAAGGAACTGGCTTTTCTAAAAACTCTGGATAACCTAAGGAGGGGCTTCCCAGGTGACACAGTGGAAAAGAATCCACCTGCCAATGCAGGAGGTGCAAAAGATGTGGGCAAGAGATTCAGGTTTGATCCCTGGGTTGGGAAAATCCCCTGGAGTAGGAAATGGCAATACATTCCAGTGTTCTTTCCATGTAAATTCCATGGACAGAGGCATGTGACAGGATACAGCCCATGGGGTCCCAAAGAGTCAGACATGACTGAGCGACTAAGCGTGCACACACAACCTAAGGATGGGGCCTGGTTGCCAGGAGAGTCAACCATGTGATTACAGAGATGGAACTTCAGTCGCTTCTCAGACCTCAGGGAAAGGAAGAGGCTGGATATTGACTTTGATTGATGGTCAATGATTTAAATAATCAGGTCTCACAAGATGGAGCCTCCATAAAAATCCCAATGACAGAGTTCATAGAGCCCCTGGTTTGGAGAACACGTGGAGATTTGGGGAGAGTGGCATTCCTGGAGAGAGCATGAAAGCTCCAAGCCCTTCCCGCACAGCATAGCCTCTGGGTCTCTCCCATCTGGCTGGTTCTGAGCTGTGCTATGCTCTATGTGCTCAGTCATGTCCAACTCTTTGTGGCCCTGTGAGCTGTAGCCTGCCAGACTCCTCTGTCCATGGAATTTTCCAGGCAACTCCCAACTGGAGTTGGGTGCCATTTCCTCCTCCAGCGGATCTTCCCACCTAGGTATTGAACCCACATCTCTTGCATCTTCCTGCATTGGCAGGCAGATTCTTTATGACTACGCCACCTGGGAAGCCCAATGAACTGGTAAAATGAAAGTGAAGTCGCTCAGTTGTATCCGACTCTTTGCGACCCTGTGGACGGTAGCCCACCAGGCTCCACCGTTCATGGGATTCTCCAGGCAAGAATACTGGAGGGGGTTGCCATTTCCTTCTCGAGGAAGTAAAATGTTCCTCTGAGTTCTATGAAACACTTTAGCATATAAATCAAAGCTGAAGACAATGTCATGGGAACCCTGAGTCTCTGGCTGGTTGGTGAGAAGCACAGGTGATGACCTAGACTTGCACTGGTATGGAGGACTGAGGGAGAGGCAGTCCTGTAGGACTGAGTCCTTAACCTGTGAGAGGATACAATGCTACCTCCAGGTAAATAGTGTCAGTATAAACTGAACTTCAGGGCATCCATCCAGTGTCAGTGCTGTGTGATAGCAGTGTGGGCATAAAGCAGAAACATTTATCAGATCCTCTCATCAAAAGATTGGTTACATTCCTCTTTTCTTTGAATCTGGGCTTTGTCGTATATGACTTTCTTTGGCTAAAGAGATATTAGAAAATGTGAGGCATGCAGAGACTTGGCAAGCATGTGCACGTTGGGGCTGGCAATCTCCTGTTGAACTTGTAATTCCAAGAGCACAAAACAAAGAAAACAGCCTGCTAACAGGCCACATGGAGACAGAAGGCCACTCGGAAGCCTAACTGAATCAGCACAGTCCAGAACTATCTGCAACCCTGAAAACCAACAGAATGATAAAGGAATGATAAATTTCAGCTGTTTAAGATGCCAAGTTTGGGATGCTTTAAATGGCAGCCACTAACAAATCAGACCAGATTATTCCTCCCTAGAATGTTGATCTTTTATGATTTTAGCCAGATATTCCTCACCTGAACACATAACTGAAATGGAGCCCTTCATTGGGAATTAAGTAACCTCCATATCTGTAGGAAGCAGAATTAGCAACAAACACGATGCACTGGGAAAAACCAAAGCAGAGTCCGTAAATATTCGCTTNTAGACTCCGGCAGTTGGTGATGGATAAGGAGGCCTGGCGTGCTGCAGTTCATGGGTCGCAAAGAGTCGGACATGACTGAGTGACTGAACTGAACTGAATTGAACATGGCTTCATTGCCTCTAATTGTTGAGGAAGAGAGGAGAGGGAGAAAATTGGTACAGAAGGCTCTCTTTATGAATTCATTTGAAACGTCCAAAACGTTTAGATGTGTCCGAGATGTTTAGATGTTCTTTAGATGTGTCCGAGACAGAAGATTTTTTTCATAATATAAATTAAAAATATTAGATTCTATTTCTTAAAAATTATTCTGACAAAATATTATATGAGAAAAATTAAGTATAAAGCTTATTTTTTAGTCTATACTATGAATTTGTATTTGTTTCAATCCCTACTCTAGGGTAAATAATTACTATTTCTGAATTAGGGTCCTATCCTAAAAAAGGTACAAAAGTGGGCTACTTTCTACCATTGGCATATAAAATCCTTTTGGCTTCTGCCTACTTGGCTATGTTAACTTTTACTCTTCAAAGAGACAAACCTTAGTTGATAGTAAATTTATTAAAAGGGGAGGGTGTATATATGTGTGTGTGGATGATTTCTTGTCCCTGATAAATGTCTATGCCATCATCTCTTCACTTATCTCTGATAACCAGATTTAATTGGAACAGTCTTAAAAGTGCATAGCTGCAGCCTAAATGTCTTCAAGATCTAAACTGTATGTATCTCATGGTTCTCTTTGGGAAAGATATTTGCCACAAGTCTAGCAGACACTGAAATGTGAAAGTTAAAAGTGTGTGCCAAAAAGATGGTTAATTCCTTTCTATGTTGGTAGTATGACCTGGAGAAACCATTAAGCTAAAAAAAGAAAAAAAAAAAAAAAAGAACAGACAATAAATGTAACTATCCACTCCTGCAAAGGAGGATACTATGCCAAATTGGGATGTGAAAAAGATAACTGTCTAGGAGTAAACTGAACATGTGACCTCTGTGTTTGCCCCATTATTTCTCCACATCTGCTCAACCTCAGCATCAGAGGCATATATGAAAAAGGCTAATGGGAAGTTTGTAACCATGTATGGTTGCAGGCTGACAGCTTTCTTAGGCCTGTTTGCACTACTCCTTCTTAGCAGTTTGATAGCCACTCATCCATAAGCAGCCTGAAAAGTGGGTGTGGGAGATTACCTGTCCCGCAATCTCCAGAGACTCCTTGTCATGAGTGGCAAATCCCATCAACATTCTGGTCTGTATGGCTCCCGATAAAGCCAAGAAAGGGAAGAAGCACACGATGACCAGGCTTAGCTTCCAGCTAAAGAGGAAGGCAATGATCATGGCCACAGCGATGTTAGTGAAGGCATTTACCATCATCCCGATCTGAGAGCCGGTAGCCTGCAAGCCAAACGCAATCAATCTCAGATATGCAGTCTCTGACTAAACATCATGAGAAGGTTGTTTTATAGCAAAAAGATAGTTTAAATTATTATGATAAAATCATAATATACAATATATATATAAAACATAATGTTTATCATGTTAGCCGTTTCTAAAAGTATAAGCCAGTGGTATTAAATACCTTCACAATGCCATGCAACCATCACCATATTTATTTCCAAAGCTTTTTCATCATCCCTAACAAAAACTCTATACCCAATCAATATTAACACCCCTTCCTCCCTCTCCCCAGCTCCTGCTAACCTCTATTCTATTTTCTGTCTCTGTGACTTTGTCAGTTCAAGGCACCACATACAAGTGAAACCATACAACATTTATCCCTCTATGTCTAGCTGATTTCACTAAGCATAATGTTTCCAAGGTTCATCCATGTTAAAGCAGGTATCAGAATTTTATTTATTTTAAAGCTGAACAATATTCCATAGTGAGTATATACCATATTTTGTTTATTCATTGATGTTGATAAACACTTGAGTTGCTTTCAGCTTTTGGCCATAATGAACAATGGTGACATGAACATGGGTATACAAGTATTTGTTTGTGTCCCTGCTTTCAATTCTTTAGGGTTTATATAACTAGGAATGAAATCACTGATCATATAGTAGTTCTGTGTTTAAAAAAGGGAGACTCTTCTACATAATGAGACCCCTGTAGAGCATTTGAACCCTGGATTAATAAAAGTATTACATCTTATTCACAGCTTCTTGGGAGCTCATCTATTGACTAATCTCATTTCGTGGATTTCAGAGCTAGAGCAGTCAGTGAGAGATTAATTCTAGTGATAATGAATAACCTATAAAACTCCTTGAAGATTGAAGGTTGCAAAAACAGTAAAAATGAGCTTATGGCTTATTTATTTAGTCTAACGTCAAGAATAAGGTGAACTAGACACTAGAAAACTCAGATGATAAAAGTAAAATTGGTATAAACTCTTTAAGCAGCAAGATAATGCATATTAAAACCTTTCAAAATGATTATACATTTTGATCCAATAATTATATTTTAAGAACCAAAAAATAATCAAGAATATGCCAAGCCTGATGTAAAATGATATAAATTACTTATAAGGAGGAGACCTAAATGGGAAATTCTTTAAGAAATTGTGATATATAAAAATAATGAACTATATAGTCATTAAAAATATATCATAGAAGAATATATAAGGGCAAAAATATGCTCACATCAGGTTTCTTGACAGAAAAAAAGAAAGATTACAAAATAATATGCAGAGTGCAACCCAAAGACTGTGAGAAACACATTTCCACAGAAAAAACCTATGTAAACATGTGTTAGTCATTCAGTCATGTCCAACTCTTTGCAATCCCATGGACTGTAGCCTGCCAGTCTGCTCTGTCCATGGAAATTTCCAAGCGAGAATACTGCAGTGGGTAACCATCCCCTTCTCCAGGGAATCTTCCTGACCCAAGGATCAAACCTGGGTCTCCTGTATTTCAGGCAGATTCTTTATTGTCTGAGCCACAGGGAAGCCCCAGAGAAAAAGCCTAGAATGATCAATGTGAAAAATTTACAGGGACTTTCCTCGCAGTAAAAGGATTCTATATTCCTTTGAAATTCTCCATGTCATAGTCCATATCGTTGGTTGAACTGGTAGGAGTTGAGATATGCATACAATAAGGCACCAGGAATCCAGCAAGATTTTTCTTCCAGGAAGAGCCTCACAGACAAACCATGACTTTTTCTCCTCTTTGCCTTTTTATCACGGAAAGTGAGTAGATGTGTTGGGAGGCAAGCTGAGCTCTCATCACTTTAATCCAAATGCTTGATTTTATAAAGGTGTAGCCTCACCTTGTACATATGGGTAAGTGTCCTGAACAAAGCAACAGATTCTGGGGTTTAGAAACCACAGCTTAGTCTCTATTATTCAGATACACAGACTTTGGAATGTGTCAAGATTCTAGATAGCAATCATTTCCATCTTTCCCTTGGTTTCCTGGGCTGCTCAGAACAACTTCTCTTTTCCTAAGACTAATTTATAACCCCAGACACCTGTGGAAGAAGGCTTTCATCCACATGCCCCCTGGGGGACGCTATTAAGTCCCATGGAATAATAATCTGAGAAAGGAGACTTGGAAAAGTTCCCAATTACTAAACTTGCAGGAAATCCGAAACCCGACAGATTTTGATTCATACTGTAACACTGATTCTCGGCACTGCCGAGGAGACAGTTTGCTTTCACTGCTGTTTGTCAGCTTTGGAAATGAGAGAAAATGTGGCTCTGGGATACCCTAGTCCCACGAGTTCCCATTTCATAGGAAATACCTACGTAATTCTAAAAGAACCTCTTGATGAAAGTGAAAGAGGAGAGTGAAAAAGCTGTCTTAAAACTCAACATTCAAAAAACTAAAATCATGGCATCCAGTCCCATCACTTCATGGCAAATAGATGGGGAAATGATGGAAACAGTGACAGACTTTATTTTCTTGGGCTCCAAAATCACTGCAGATGGTGACTACAGTCATGAAATTAAAAGATGCTTGCTCCTTGGAAGAAAAGCTATGACAAATCTAGACAGTGTATTAAAAAAACAGAGACATTACTTTGCCAGCAAAGGTTCATATAGTCAAAGCTATGGTTTTTCCAGTAGTCATATATGAATGTGAGAGTTGGACTATATAGAAGGCTGAGCACCAAAGAACTGATGCTTTTGAACTCTGGTGTTAAAGAATACTCTTAAGAGTCCCCTGGACTGCAAGAAGATCAAACCAGTCAATCCTAAGGGAAATCAATCCTGAATATTCATTGGAAGGACTGATGCTGAAGCTGAAACTCCAATACTTCGGCCATTTGATCCAAACAGCTGACTCATTAGAAAAGACCCTGATGCTGGGAAAGAAGGGAGGAAGGAGGGAGGAGAAGGGGACCACAGAGGACGAGATGGTTCAATGGCATCACCAACTCAATGGACATGAGTTTGAGCAAGGTCTGGGAGATGGTGAAGGACAGGGAAGTCTGGTGTGCTGCTGCCCATGGGGTCACAACGAGTTCAGACATGACTGAGTGACTGAACAACAACGTGTGTAATTATCAGAATATGCAAAGGAAGGAAAGTCTACTCCAGTTGCTGCATCCCTGGTTTCCCCCATGGCTTACCCCTTGAACTTGGGAAGCATCTGTAGCAAGCCGTGTTGTCAGGGCTCCGGGGCTATTTCTGAGGTCATCGAACCAGCCGATGTCTTGCCCTAACATTGCTCTGAAACCCAATTTACGTAGCCTTTTTGTCAGAAGTTCCCCGGATTTGGCAAAAGCATATCCCTAAAACATAAAGGAATCTTTAGTGATATTTTAACTTGAAATGGCAGAAAACAGCTAAATTGCTTACTGAAAAATAAAATTCCTTACCTGCAGAAACTGAGTGCAAAGAGAGAGACAGCCTACTGCTACAAAGAGCAGGCACACACCATGGATCTGTGATCTTTGTTCTTCTTTATCAGGAATTGAAAAAGTCTTTGCAAGACAGTAAGCAAGGAGGTCACTTTATTATTACAAACAACAGCAAAAGAAATAAATTCAAATATGTTTAAAAGGAATTTATCTTAGGCATTGGGTTAAAAACAAGTTCACTATAAACATACTAGTATTAAACCAAAGTTAACTATGAATATGTGTACTTTATCTGTGAAGAAGGAAGGCTGGTGAATGGAAACCAGTAGTTATGATTTAAAGAATTTTAACCTTGCTTCTTTGCCTGCTGTAGGCAGTTTTATTGACTTTTCTTTGATACAGATGAAAAATATGATGAGATGCTTCAAATTCTTTACATAATAAGGTAAGGGGAAAAGGAAAGAAGTGGGGAAGTTAGTTGAGAATCTAAGAATATTATTCTCTCCTAGTATTAGTTTTATAGTATATATATACACATACATACACAAATAATGGCATCATTAAAAAGGCGGTTGGCTTCCCCCCAAAGGCACTTGGTTTTCAGGGCTTTGCTTGGGCTTGGTTTGTGCCGGAAAGTTTTTCTTCCTTCGGGGGTTGAGTTTGTTGTTTTTAATTCTTCGGAGTTTGAAACCTTTCCCTTCAATAAAACTTTTGGAATTTTTGGTTGGTTTTTTTTTTCAGGCTATAATAAGTGGCAAACTTAGAGGAACGTGTTCAAGTAACTGACAACAGCCCAAGCTGTTGCAACAAGAAAATATAAAGAACAGCTGCATACTCTTAATAACATCGCCTTACAGTAGGTTTTAGGTACAACAAAACCTTCTTAATTCAGACTATGTGAGGGAGCTGTGAGAGTTCAGAAAGACTATTCATTAGAGAACCGCACAATAAATCTTTATTGATTGCTCTGCATTAGTTTGAATAATTAGAACAATGTCAGCAAGCAGTTGCTCAAAGGAAACCATTTATTCAATTAATATTCGAATGACTGCTGTATGCCAAACAAATCTCCTGAAAGCAATGTTTACTTCTCTATTAACAAGCCCTTTTTTGTAAAACAGAAGTAACCCATTGAAATCATCACAAATTTTGAAGTGGGAGGAGGTGTTCTAAATTAATGAGGTGTATTGTTTTCAGGACAGAGTTTCTGGGGCCTTTATAGCTCTTAGTAATAAAAGATACATTCATTCCTAATGAATGAAGTGGGTTCAGAAGATGTCATAGTCATTCATCCCAGTATGGAATAACTCATGTAAGTTTATTTTACAGTTTATAAATAAAAGGACTTATATTTCAGTTTGGTTTTAAAAAAACATTATAAAAATCCCCCCAAACCCCAAACTGTGATGCCATAATTCTCATTCCTCCATATGGTTCTCTATTGTAATCATGGACTATAGCACTACAGATTAACCAGTTTAACTTTTATTTTACACATGGGAAACTAAAGCCCACGAGCTCAAGTCCTCTGTCTAGGCTCGTTTAGCTGGTGGTCATTGCTCTGTTCTGTTCTGTTCAGTAGCTCAGTCGTGTCTGACTCTTTGCAACCACATGGACTGCAGCACGCCAGGCTTCCCTGACCATCACCAACTCCTGGAGTTTGCTCAAACTCATGTCCATTGAGTCAGTGATGCCACCCAACCATCTCATCCTTTGTCGTCACCATCTCCTTCCACCTTCAATCTTTCCCAGCATCAGGGTCTTTTCAAATGAGTCAGCCGTTTGCATCTGGTGGCCAAAGTATTGGAGTTTCAGCTTCAGCATCAGTCCTTTCAAAGAATATTTAGGACTGATCTCCTTTAGGATGGACTGGTTGGATCTCCTTGCTGTCCAAGAGACTCTCAAGAGTCTTCTCCAACACCACAGTTCAAAAGCATCAATTCTTCTGCACTCAGCCTTCTTTTTAGTCCAACTCTCATATCCATACATAACTACTGGAAAAACCATAGCTTTGACTAGATGGACCTTTGTGGGCAAAGTAATGTCTCTGCTTTTTAATATGCTATCTAGGTTGGTCATAACTTTACTTCCAAGGAGCGAGTGTCTTTTAATTTCATGGCTGTATTCACCATCTGCAGTAATTTTGGAGCCCCCAAAAATAAAGTCTGTCACTGTTTCCATCGTTTCCCCATCTATTTGACATGAAGTGATGGGACTGGATGCCATGATTTTAGATTTTTGAAAGTTGAGTTTTAAGCCAGCTTTTCACTCTCCTCTTTCACTTTCATCAAGAGGCTCTTTAGTTCCTCTTCGCTTTCTGCCATAAGGGTGGTGTGATCTGCATATCTGAGGTTACTGACACTTCTCCTGGCAATCTGGATTCCAGCTTGTGCTTCATCCAGTCCAACATTTCACATGATTTACTTTGCATATTAAGTTAAATAAGCAGGGTGACAACATACAGCCTTGACATACTCCTTTCCTAATTTGGAACCAGTCTGCTGTTCCATATCCATTTCTAACTGTTCCTTCTTGACCTGCATACAGATTTCTCAGGAGGCAGGTCAGGTGGTCTGGTATTCCCATCTCTGTAAGAATTTTCCACAGTTTGTTGTGATCCACACAGTCAAAGGCTTTGGCATCGTTAACAAAGCAGAAATAGATGCTTTTCTGGAACTCTCCTGCTTTTCTGATGATCCAACGGATGTTGGCAATTTGATTTTTGGTTTCTCTGCCTTTTCTAAATCCAACTTGAACATCTGGAAGTTCACGGTTCTGTTGTAGCCTGGCTTGGAGAATTTTGAGCATAACTTTGCTAGCATGTGAGATGAGTGCCATTATGTGGTAGCTTGAACACTCTTTGGAATTGGACTGAAAACTGACCTTTTCCAGTCCTGTGGCCACTGCTGAGTTTTCCAAATTTGCTGGCATATTGAGTGCAGTATTTTCACAGCATCATCTTTTAAGATTTGAAATAGCTCAACTGGAATTTCATCACCTCCACTAGCTTTGTAGTGATGATTCCTAAGACCCACTTGACTTCACATTCTAGGATGTCTGACTCTTGGTGAGTAATCACACCATCGTGGTTATCTGGGTCATGAAGACCTTTTTTGTATAGCTCTTCTGTGTATTCCTGCCACCTCTTCTTAATATCTTCTGCTTCTGTTAGGTCCATACCATTTCTGCCCTTTATTGTGCCCATTTTTACATGAAATGTTCCCTTGGTATCTCTAATTTTCTTGAAGAGATCTCTAGTCTTTCCCATTCTGTTGTTTTCCTCTATTTCTTTTCATTGATCACTGAGGAAGACTTTCTTATCTCTCCTTGCTATTCTTTGGAACTCTGCATTCAGATGGATATATCTTTCCTTTACTCCTTTGCCTTTCACTTCTTTTCTTTTCTCAGCTATTTGTAAGGTCTCCTCAGATAACAATTTTGTCTTTTTGCATTTCTTTATCTTGGGGATAGTTTTGATCACTACCTCCTGTACAATGTTACGAACCTCCATCCATAATTCTTCAAGGCACTCTGAAGGAAATGCCTATTTTCCAGATTCCAGTGCAATGGTTTTTTTTTCTGGGCACAACCCTGTTGGTTCTGGGTTAATACCCATCTTCTCAGTATTAAAAAGAAGAATGTTTGTCTAATATTAAATTTCAAGATTGGGAATCATCTATCTGTAATCTTTACCCCTAAACTCTACTGCATGAGTCCTTTGTACATTCTTACTGAAATGCACCCCAAAGGGCTGCCCATCCATAGGTTTCTCTGTTTTTAGACCAGCTATAGTTTGCGCACACATCTACACCATCTTGTAAAGGTGAGTTTAGGGAGAAAATAAAATTCCATTAGATTCTTGCTATTTACTAGATACAAATGAATTACTTAATCTACTTTAATTTAAATGAGGATTTCCTTAAAATTGGAATTCTTAAAACAGCCCGGTGAGGTAGATTTTCTTGTCCCATAATACAGATAAAGAAACTAAGACTCATCAAAAAGAAGCCACTTGCCTAAACACACACAAACAGTATGGAGCAGAGAACGCAGCAAATCCAAGGCTGGCTGATTCCAACATTCATGCTTTTCCCCAGCACGGGTGTGTGCTGCATGCTAAGTCGCTTCAGTTGTGTCTGACCCTTTGTGACCCTATGGAACCTGCCAGGTTCCTCTGTCCATGGGATTCTCTAGGCAAGAATACTGGGGTGGGTTGCCATGCCCTTCTCCAGGGGATCTTCCCAACCCAGGGATCAAACCCACATCTCTTACATCTCCTACATTGGTAGGGAGATTCTTTAACATTAGCGCTATCTGGGAATCCCTTTCCCCAGCGTGCTACATCCAAACTACTGTTCCAGGTCAAGCAGACCCAGTGAAAGTGAACAAGAGAAAGTAAGCCTTACGTGTACATTGAGGCTTCACTAGATTAGCAACCAGGCTCCTAATGCCCAATTTTTTGCTGTGTCCTTGTTCCAAACTATGGTCTCAATACCAAATGTGAATATCATGCCCTTTAGAAATGTCAGAATGACAATAGCACAATTAAGACCAGACTATTATCTGACTCATGATTATACCCTATGAGATGAAAGCATCATGAACCCACTGATGAATCTGTGATAATTATGCTAAGAGACAAAAACAACCTTCTTTATCAAAGAAAAATAATAAAGCTTTATTCTCTTAGCAAACTTAACCCTGTAAGAACATCAATGATGAACAGATTTTGGATTTCATCCTGCTACTCTGATCCTTTGGTCCTTAGGTTAAAACTTAAATTGCTTAGGCTAGGATTTTCTGGTTGTGACCAGAAGAGCCACAGAGAATATTCTCACCATCAGTAACCAAGTGGGTGCTGTTGGAGGGCAGGTGTTATAATTTGAATCATCAAATTTTTTCTGACTTGGCCACTCGATAGCCCACAGGAGCTGGAAGGTATCTTACAGAGCCTCTTTGTCAATCCTTCCTTTTATAGTTAAGGAAACTGAGACATCACGAAAGAAGTAGCATGGTGTGACTCCAGGGCAGTAAAGAAGTCTCCTGGTGAGTAATCCAGGACTCTTCCCAAAGCAGTTCGTATACAGGGTTTGAGACTGAGTGAACGCATTCCTTACTCTGCATTCATGAGAAAAAGAGATGATCAGCAAAGGAGCAGAATCCTGGCTTTAATTTAAAAGCAAACATCTAGGGCCTTGGGTCTTAACATATTCAGCGCCATCCCCTACACCTTCTGCATCTGCATCACTGCTTAGTGAATGCATTTCCAGGGTCTCTCCCTAGTAGAATGTTAGCTTTCTGAGAGCAGGGAGGGCTCTGGTTTTCTTATTCCTCACTGTACTCTTAATACCAGCAACAATACCTGGGAAACAGTAAGTGATCAATAACTATTTTGTGAATGTGAGTGGATTTTTCATTTCAACATCTGTCTTCCTCATAGACTGGAAACTCCATTAGGGAAGGCACCCTCACTAACATGCCAGTCCCTAGTCCAGGGGAGATAATCAACAAGTATCTATTAAGTGAATAAAAGGACATTGCTATTATATTTAGGATACTGTACTTCCTAGATATTAAGGAATATAAATTAATTATCAAGATGTTTTCAGCATAAGCAGAAATTTCATTTACCAGAGCTGGTCTCTGCGTTTCCTATTTCCTAGCTTTATGATAATTTCCTCACTTACCACAAGGGGGCAGTGTGAAGACTGAAGCAAGGGCCGGGGCGTTCCCTATAGGATTGATTTGATTCGGTTTGTGGACTCTGCTGGTCTTTCTATATAACTCATGCCTGGTGGGACAATTTTCTGGTCAGGATCTCTGCCAGACAGACCATAAAAGTGAAAGAAAAGTAGAGGGGGAAACTGAAACGTGGGACTTTTACACATCCTTTAGGCTAGGGTTCAGAAAAGCTGGTTCTAGGGCTGGTCCCACCACCTTCTGTGACCCTGTGTCGCCTTGAACAAGTTCATAAGTTCTCCAAAATTCTAGGTTTTCCTCCTTGTTGATCTCATAGGAATCGTGTGTGTGTGAATTTCAACTAAGAAAATATGACAACATTTTGAGAACTGACTTCGCAATGATAAGATTTTATTAGAACTCAGCTCTGTGGTCACATTGCCTGGATTTGAATCCCAGATCCACCACTTACGCCTCTAAGCGCTTTAGTTTGCTCCTTTGTCAAATAGGGACAATAAGAATACCTACCACAGCTGGTTATTAGGAAAGTTTAGTGAACTATTATATATAAAGTTCTCAGGGCCTAATTAATGTTTGTAATTATTATCATCAATATTCAGCGCCATCCCCTACACCTTCTGCATCTGCATCACTGCTTAGTGAATGCATTTCCAGGGTCTCTCCCTAGTAGAATGTTAGCTTTCTGAGAGCAGGGAGGGCTCTGGTTTTCTTATTCCTCACTGTACTCTTAATACCAGCAACAATACCTGGGAAACAGTAAGTGATCAATAACTATTTTGTGAATGTGAGTGGATTTTTCATTTCAACATCTGTCTTCCTCATAGACTGGAAACTCCATTAGGGAAGGCACCCTCACTAACATGCCAGTCCCTAGTCCAGGGGAGATAATCAACAAGTATCTATTAAGTGAATAAAAGGACATTGCTATTATATTTAGGATACTGTACTTCCTAGATATTAAGGAATATAAATTAATTATCAAGATGTTTTCAGCATAAGCAGAAATTTCATTTACCAGAGCTGGTCTCTGCGTTTCCTATTTCCTAGCTTTATGATAATTTCCTCACTTACCACAAGGGGGCAGTGTGAAGACTGAAGCAAGGGCCGGGGCGTTCCCTATAGGATTGATTTGATTCGGTTTGTGGACTCTGCTGGTCTTTCTATATAACTCATGCCTGGTGGGACAATTTTCTGGTCAGGATCTCTGCCAGACAGACCATAAAAGTGAAAGAAAAGTAGAGGGGGAAACTGAAACGTGGGACTTTTACACATCCTTTAGGCTAGGGTTCAGAAAAGCTGGTTCTAGGGCTGGTCCCACCACCTTCTGTGACCCTGTGTCGCCTTGAACAAGTTCATAAGTTCTCCAAAATTCTAGGTTTTCCTCCTTGTTGATCTCATAGGAATCGTGTGTGTGTGAATTTCAACTAAGAAAATATGACAACATTTTGAGAACTGACTTCGCAATGATAAGATTTTATTAGAACTCAGCTCTGTGGTCACATTGCCTGGATTTGAATCCCAGATCCACCACTTACGCCTCTAAGCGCTTTAGTTTGCTCCTTTGTCAAATAGGGACAATAAGAATACCTACCACAGCTGGTTATTAGGAAAGTTTAGTGAACTATTATATATAAAGTTCTCAGGGCCTAATTAATGTTTGTAATTATTATCATCAATATTATTATTTTATAGCAATAATATCAGATGGAGAATATTAAAACTCCTAGGAGATGAAAAACTGAAATAAGCTTATTCTTTATACATGCCTTATTTTACTTCTCTCTTCCTTTTCCTGTTTTCTTCCCCAACTTCCCATTTCAATGGTGCAATGCACAGAAGAGCAGAGAAGCAGAGTATTATACAACATGCATGAACACTTGCTATTACAAACCAAACTTTGTACCTCAGCTGATCAGCAAGATCGAAATGGCCCCCCAAATCCTTTTATATCATTCAATGAACTTGCTTTGCATTCTTACTTGGTTTGCATATGGGTAAACTGCCCTCTTTGACACTAAGTTTGCAGCCATAGTGTCTTTTTCTTTTTTTTAACAGACACAATGACTGTCAGAGTGTGCTGCCAGCCCAAATGAGAGTCTCAGCTTTGTCTTCTCACCTCCTGTTTGATGGAGACTTGAGACATTTTTAATTCTTTAGAGATGAGAGGGGGGAAAAAACAACAAAAAAAACTTAAAAAAAAAAACTTCAATACCTTACAACAAGGAACCAACCTAGCAAAAGTGACAATATCCACTGATAGACAAACAAAAGGCAGGAGGAGAATAAAGCTGGTCCAGCTGCTTGCTTACCCCAAGAATCTGGCTGAACAAAAAGGCATACATGGGTGTGACTGTCCCATTGACAGCCGCACCCACAGACCCTACCAGCATGTAGGGCCATTCTCGAGCATTGAGTTTCAGAATCCTCCTCACTGGGGCTGGTTCAATTTCTTCTTCCATAGGAATGTTCTTGTCCTTGAGGGGAGAGGAGGTTACATTAATCATTTAAGTGTTTACATATACTCTTTTTTTTTTTTATTAGTTGGAGGCTAATTACTTTACAGTATTGTAGTGGGTTTTGTCATACATTGACATGAATCAGCCATGTATCTACATGTATTCCCCATCCCGATCCCCCCTCCCACCTCCCTCTCCACCCGATCCCTCTGGGTCTTCCCAGTGCACCAGGCCCGAGCACTTGTCTCATGCATCCAGCCTGGGCTAGTGATCTGTTTCATCCTAGATAATATACATGTTTCGATGCTGTTCTCTTGAAACATCCCACCCTCGCCTTCTCCCACAGAGTCCAAAAGTCTGTTCTGTACATCTGTGTCTCTTTTTCTGTTTTGCATATAGGGTTATCGTTACCATCTTTCTAAATTCCATATATATGTGTTAGTATACTGTAATGGTCTTTATCTTTCTGGCTTACTTCACTCTGTATAATGGGCTCCAGTTTCATCCATCTCATTAGAACTGATTCAAATGAATTCTTTTTAATGGCTGAGTAATACTCCATGGTGTATATGTACCACAGCTTCCTTACATATACTCTTTTATTACACAATTGACCCTTTGGCATTCACAGATTTGAGTCATGGTTTGATCGGTTATGCATGACCTCAAAGATCTATAAGACAGGGTGATACGATATTTTGTGAGAGATGGTTCTAAACTGCTTGCCACCATGCTATGACTTGGGGGTCCCTGGTAGCTCAGTGGTAAAGAATCTGCCTGCCAGTGCAACAGACCCAGGAGACACAGGTTCAACGCCTGGGCTGAGAAGAACCCCTGGAGTAGGGAATGGCAACCCACTCCAGTATTCTTGCTGGGCTAGTCCCATGGACAGAGGAGCCTGGTGGGCTGTTACAGTCCATGGGGTCACAGAAGAGTCAAGACATGATTTAGGGACTAAACAACATGCTATGACTTGGGTGGGATTGATTTTAGAGTGTCTGCTCATCTGAAGGTGAGCTGGTAGTTCTCTTTTCACAATTGCATAGGTATTAACACTTGGGGAGTAGTAAATAAGGTGGATCTATAAGAAAAATAACTCCCAGTTTAAAAACATGTTTGTGCTATAGTGAGTAAGTTGAGTGCTATGTTGCTTCAGTTGTGTCCGACTCTTTGCAACCCTTTGTGCTATGGTGAGTGGTATTTACATATTCGAGGATTTGTGAAATTTTCAAGATACGTCCTTCATAAATGTCAAAGTCTAGTGACTGCCTCAAGCCCTAAGGCAGGCCAGTGGATCTAAACAATGCAAAATAATTTTTAAAATGTATTAACTGGTGACAATGGTTATCAATTGCATATTTCTGTGAAGGTTTTCTTTAATTAGTGCCCAGAAGTAAATGGTAATCAATTTGGATTTCTAAATTCTGCATGTTCTTTACAAGGAGTACAAATTATTTTAAAATTTCCCCATTCCAATTTCTTTAATTGCCATTAAAGTGTCAGAGCTAGCAAATTTTTAGACTCTTGAAGGCAAAAATTATATTCAGAACTTCATCATTTTTACCATCATTTTTCCTTGTTAATGGTATTCTTCAGTGCTTGGTCATTAGGCCCATTCTTCAATAATTTGCTAAATTTATTGTCCACTTTGTTTGAGAAAAGACTTTAGGTGGCTTATAAAGATCTGTATTGATTTTTTTTTTTACTTTTTCTATTAAAATATACTAAAAATGTCTACAGCAAATTGAATAAAAAACTGTTAGTGTTCTATTTCATTAACACACAGTTATTTGCCCCTTCAGGAGCTGACCATCAGGAACAGATAACAGTAAGGAACTTCAGATACTATCCTTTTGCTTCCAAAGTCAAAGATTTCATTACCAATTCAATTGAAATAAAAGCCTGGTGTCCATATTCTAGTTGCAAGCCAAATAGGGTGGAGGGAGAGCTTGCTTGGATCTGTCAACGCCTCCATTTCAGGTTCTCTCTTGGTCGGCCCTCAATAGTTGCTACTCACTCATGCAGCAAATCCTTCAATGATTTCATCTCTGATGTCTTACTCGACTCTAGGAAATCAATGCAGAGAGGAAGAAAGGTGCCTGTGAAAGCGTGAGGGAAACGGGCATGTGGAAAGAACGTGGTTCTTGGATGAGCCCCACGTGGCCACTAGTGGAATATATCATTGAGCACTTCAGCTCTCTGGGGCTCAGTTGCCTCCTCCTCCTCAAAAGGGAAGAGCTAGACAAAGTTCTCTGTGGCTCTCTCGTGTTTCTGCACATCTTGTGAACAGAGGCACCGACCACCTTTGTTGAGGCTATTTTCTCAAGCAAATAGCCTTGGAGGAGAGGGGTAGGGTTTCCATACTAAGAAAAGGGCTTATTGCCCATTATAAAAACACCAGGTTTCTCAAGCCCAGGTTTCCTCTCCCCCTTCATTGGCTGGAATCGCCTGCTTCTCTCTCATCAGCTGAGAAGTGGAGGTAGGCTGGGGGATCAGTGGAAATGTGTGCACTGGCTCCTGCTCGCGCTTTCAGTAAAAAGTCTTCCAGCTCTGACACAGCTCTTATGTATTCTCCAGCATCCATAAAATCGTGTCAAGCTAACTTGATAGCTTCTTGGAAGAGGATGTTTGCTACGACCACTGCATTCTCTTGGCAAAACTCTGGTAGCCTTTGCCCTTATGGATGTGAGAGTTGGGCCACAAAGAAGGCTAAGCACTGAAAAATTGATGCTTTCGAACTGTGGTGTTGGAGAAGACTCTTGAAAGTCCCTCAGACAGCAAGATCAAACCAGTCAATCCTAAAGGAAATCAACTCTGAATAGTCATTGGAAGGACTAATGTTGAAGCTGAAACTCAAATACTTTGGCCACCGGATGCGAAGAGCTGACTCATTTGAAAAGACTCTGATGCTGGGAAAGATTGAAGGCAGGAGGAGAAGGGGGTGACAGAGGATGAGATGGTTGGATGGCATCACTGACTCAGTGGACATGAGTTTGAGTAAACTCCAGGAGTTGGTGATGGACAGGGAGGCCTGACGTGCTGCAGTCCATGGGGCTGCAAAGAGTTGGACACGACTGAGCAACTGAACTTAACTAAAAGTAGTATAAGAACAAGAGAAAATGCAAGTCATTATGTAAAGAAAGTTTTTTTCCTCTGGGATTTTGCAAAGCTAAAGACAAATTAACTCAACTAAAAAAAGCTAAAAAGCTAAAAATATGTATTAAGGCAAAAGTCGCTCAGTCGTGTCTGACTCTTTGCAACCCCATGGACTATACAGTCAATGGAATTCTCCAGGCCAGAAGACTGGAGTGGGTAGCCTTTCCCTTCTCCAGGGGATCTTCCCAACCCAGGGATCAAACCCAGGTCTCCCTCACTGCAGGTGGATTCTTTACCAGCTGAGCCACAAGGGAGGCCCAAGAATACTGGAGTAGGTAGCTTATCCCTTCTCCAGCAGATCTTCCCAACCCACAAATCAAACTGAGGTCTCCTGTATTGCAGGCGGATTCTTTACCAGCTGAACTATCAGGGAAGCCCCAAAACATATGTGTGTGTGTGTATATATAGATAATACTATAATTAATATATTATATATCAATTAATATAATAAGTATAAATATGTGTATATATATAAAAGATCAGTATATATACATAGATATAATAAATTCACAGCAAACCAGTAACTCACAGAGAGACAAAATAATAAAAGTTTATATACACTTCCTCACTGCAATTCCTGCCTCTATTGTGTCAATGGTAAGTTGCATAGTGCTCCCTTATTTATCATACTTAAAGAAGTATCCTGCCAGCAGCTCCAGTGAAGGAAGAAGAACAGTGCTCTTGCTCATCTTTGCATCCCTAAGACAATATCTGGCACTTGTTAGGTGTGCAATCAACACTTATTGGATGAAAGAATGAATGAAGCTTTTACGCTCATGGTGCATAAATGTAAAAAACATTTATTTAAAAAATACTGATCACACTTTCAAGGTAGATAATTCAATGCTAAACAAAGGGCTTTTCCCAGCTTCCTTCCATCCATATCCTGTGTAGCTCAGGTGAAAGTATAACTTCCTACTTAAATCTCATGTCCAGATTTCTATATTTTGTTACATCGAATTCTTCATGCCAACTCATAGGCGGTCTCCTGCCTTGGTGACAACTTTAAGATATGATGATAGGAAATGGTAAATATGACCAAGAAGCAGGGACCTTCCAAATGATTAAACACTAGTAGTCGTTTTTACAGATCTTCTGTCCTATCTCCTATGTGTGTGTGTGCGCAGCCACTCAGTCGTGTCCGACTCTTTGCAACCCAATGGACCTTGCCCACCAGGCTCCTCTGTCCATGAGATTTTCCAGGCAAGAATTCTTGAGTGGATTGTCATTTCCTTCTCCTGGGGAATCTTCCCAACCCAGGGACTGAACTCACATCTCCTGCATTGGCAGGTGGATTCTTTACCACTGAGCTACCTGGGAAACCCTGTCCTATCTCCTAACCAATGCCTAAACCCTACTATAAGTTAGCTGTGATGAAGTGATGGGTTTTTAATACTTGACCTTGACACAATCTCATACATATTCTACCTTTTAGTTCCTCTGAAAGAGGTGCCTAGATATCAGAGACTGGAAGCTTTAGCCTGCAGTTTTCCCCTAATCCTAGTCTCAATTTTATTAGCATTATAACTGTGATCTGATTTATGAAAGCCAAGAGTATAGCTTGGAGACCAAGAGAAAACAGGCTATATATAGTCTTAGTTCTGTCACCAGCTAACCATGAAACGTTGGGTCAGACAGCCCACTTACACTTTGGAAGCACAAACTTGAAACCATCTCCTCCTCTAAGCTTTCAGAGTCAAAACTCGAAGAGACCACAAGGTGGAGATAATGCCTTTATATAAGTAAAACTTTTTGCCTTGCCACACAAAATAGAATATCCCCCAAACAACAGGTCAGGTTAGAGCCTCTTCATCAAAATATGAAAAAATTTTTTTTACCAGTGCTTGATCTTAAAGAATTTAGTTAACTATCAAAATACTTTAAAATTTACTTGGGATTAGAATAACCTAAATATCTAAAATATTTTAAAATTTACTCTGATTAGGAAGTCCTTATATTAAATTCTATCAATGCTGATTCCGCTGTTTCCTTTTTTAAAATATTTAATTTTAAAATCAAAAAAGTTCTAAGATAATTATCATACAAATGAGCAGTATTAATATAAGCACAAGGCCTGTTTCATTTCTACCTTTAGCAGAATCGCATTGGCTCTGTCACTTTTTTTCCTTTTCCTCCCTAACTAAAGAAAGAAATCAAAGTGTTCTCTTTTTAAAATTACACTCTCTCTGCTCAGATGCTCAGTCACGTCCAGTTCTTTGAGACCCCATGGACTGTAGCCCACCAGGTTCCTCTGTCCATGGATTTTCTAGGCAGAATATTGCAGTGGGTTGCCATTCCCTTCTCCAAGGGATCGTTCCCCCACCTAGGAACTGAACCTGGGTCTCCATTGCAGGCAGATTCTTGGTTTCCATTTAATTGAGTTATTTATTATATTCTAATTGGCAATGCTGATGAGTAGAATACTTAGGGAGTAGTTTTGTTTTCTCTGCAACTACTCTCTGTATTTGATTTAGATTTCCTTTTATTTAAATAACTCCCTTCTGAGTTGTCCCTGCATCAGAAGTCTGGGAACCTGATCTTCAGATCTTCAGGAAATCTGATTGCTCTCTGCAACAGTGCTGAGTCATCTACCAGCTTCAACAATAACAAAATTGGATTTTCTGTTCCTTCCTAACTCTCTTGTTTTTATTGTCAAACATTTTCCCAGAAACTAGGGGAAAAAATAAAAATGCAAAAACTTGAATACAGTTGGTGCTGTTACATTTGAAATGCCACTGTAGTGTTTGGTTCTTTCTTCCTTGAATCTTATTAAACTCCTTGTATAATGCATCTTGTACTTACGGGTGGCAGCACCATAGACATAAACAAAGAAACTATTTCTAGAATGAGAAGAGGTGCTGAGTCCTTAATGGCAAGATGCAGTAAGCAGCCATGCTTGCTAAACATTTTCTCTCCTTGGATCCACCCTGCTGTTCCTGAGACAAAGTGTTCCTCTATGAAGTTTATTTAAACCAGCTGTATTAGATACTGAGAACACTATCTATTCAGAGTCGAATACCACTTAGCGACTGAACAACAATAATAACAACATTAGATAATTAAGAATGCTATTTATTATTAATATCTTAAAACCAAAAGAGAGCCTTAATAATCCTTCCATCATAGTCATGAAATCGTACGTAGTACTTTATTACAAATTTGGCATTGCGAATCAGTGTTTATAATTACTCCCCAAAAGGATTCTCATACTGAAGTGTTTTAAAGATAATTTGAAATTACATCATACGTAATGGATGTGCTTGTAATTAAAATATTCTCTGACTCATTTTCTTTGATAAATCTTGTGGTTTGGACTTTATTTTACTATAAAAAGTTAATTTTTCATCCTAGTTTTAAAAATCACTTGATGTCCTACCATGTGCAGCTCTGTAACTAAACAGAAAGATGAAAGAGTCTGTAGATTATGAGCAGGTTGGAACAGGACTCAGCTGGTTCTAGGTGTACATGTGTCAAATAAACAGAAATGTTTGCTAGGTCTCATGGTAAAGGATAAAGGAGTTTCCGGGCAAAGCAAGATGCCCACATTGATACAAACACAAATAACAGTCATTAACTTTAAGAAGCTTGTAATTTAGTAGCAGGATAAGAAAACATGATCTGAAATAAGACTCAATAAGAAAATTGCCATGAAAAGACTGAAATGAAGAGTAATGGGGGATTGCAAATGGATCAGGGCTGAAGAATAAAGTTCAGTGATTAAGAAAGGCTCTGAGTAGGAAGGATGGTCACCTTATGTGAAAGTTAGACTGTGCCCACCGCAGAAGTGGATATCCTGATGAACAAAGTTGACTATTGCTATATGTGTTGATTCTTCTCGTATCTATTTCATTTTTATGTTGCTTGGAATAGTGTTAAAATTAATAGTGTTAATTTTAAATATACCCTAAAACAATTATTATAAAATTGTATTAAGTAAACAAATGTCCATAAAACCTAATCAGTCCCCATTAATTTAAAATTTGCAATAACTTGTATCTAACACTTTATTATAATCATTTAAGAAGGAGATTTAAAGTTTTACAAAGAAAGGTTTTCTTCCCTGCATCAGAAGTCTGGGAACCTGATCTTCAGATCTTCAGGAAATCTGATTGCTCTCTGCAACAGTGCTGAGTCATCTACCAGCTTCAACAATAACAAAATTGGATTTTCTGTTCCTTCCTAACTCTCTTGTTTTTATTGTCAAACATTTTCCCAGAAACTAGGGGAAAAAATAAAAATGCAAAAACTTGAATACAGTTGGTGCTGTTACATTTGAAATGCCACTGTAGTGTTTGGTTCTTTCTTCCTTGAATCTTATTAAACTCCTTGTATAATGCATCTTGTACTTACGGGTGGCAGCACCATAGACATAAACAAAGAAACTATTTCTAGAATGAGAAGAGGTGCTGAGTCCTTAATGGCAAGATGCAGTAAGCAGCCATGCTTGCTAAACATTTTCTCTCCTTGGATCCACCCTGCTGTTCCTGAGACAAAGTGTTCCTCTATGAAGTTTATTTAAACCAGCTGTATTAGATACTGAGAACACTATCTATTCAGAGTCGAATACCACTTAGCGACTGAACAACAATAATAACAACATTAGATAATTAAGAATGCTATTTATTATTAATATCTTAAAACCAAAAGAGAGCCTTAATAATCCTTCCATCATAGTCATGAAATCGTACGTAGTACTTTATTACAAATTTGGCATTGCGAATCAGTGTTTATAATTACTCCCCAAAAGGATTCTCATACTGAAGTGTTTTAAAGATAATTTGAAATTACATCATACGTAATGGATGTGCTTGTAATTAAAATATTCTCTGACTCATTTTCTTTGATAAATCTTGTGGTTTGGACTTTATTTTACTATAAAAAGTTAATTTTTCATCCTAGTTTTAAAAATCACTTGATGTCCTACCATGTGCAGCTCTGTAACTAAACAGAAAGATGAAAGAGTCTGTAGATTATGAGCAGGTTGGAACAGGACTCAGCTGGTTCTAGGTGTACATGTGTCAAATAAACAGAAATGTTTGCTAGGTCTCATGGTAAAGGATAAAGGAGTTTCCGGGCAAAGCAAGATGCCCACATTGATACAAACACAAATAACAGTCATTAACTTTAAGAAGCTTGTAATTTAGTAGCAGGATAAGAAAACATGATCTGAAATAAGACTCAATAAGAAAATTGCCATGAAAAGACTGAAATGAAGAGTAATGGGGGATTGCAAATGAGAGGATCAGGGCTGAAGAATAAAGTTCAGTGATTAAGAAAGGCTCTGAGTAGGAAGGATGGTCACCTTATGTGAAAGTTAGACTGTGCCCACCGCAGAAGTGGATATCCTGATGAACAAAGTTGACTATTGCTATATGTGTTGATTCTTCTCGTATCTATTTCATTTTTATGTTGCTTGGAATAGTGTTAAAATTAATAGTGTTAATTTTAAATATACCCTAAAACAATTATTATAAAATTGTATTAAGTAAACAAATGTCCATAAAACCTAATCAGTCCCCATTAATTTAAAATTTGCAATAACTTGTATCTAACACTTTATTATAATCATTTAAGAAGGAGATTTAAAGTTTTACAAAGAAAGGTTTTCATATAGTCTTAAGAACTTGAAAGGGATTCCTACATAATCAAATAGTCTGCTAAGTACATGTAATTATGTTTATTAGAATGGCTCACAAAAGAATTATCAGTGATGGGATGGGGAGGGAGGTGGGAGCGGGGTTCAGGATGGGGAACACATGTACACCTGTGGCGGATTCATGTCAACATATGGCAAAACCAATACAATATTATAAAGTAATTAGCCTCCAATTAAAATAAATAAATTTATATTAAAAAAGAGAATTATCAGTGAACTTTTAATGGTTCAGCTTAGTTACCATGTGTTCTTAAAATATTTTATTATTTATGCATCTCTGAAAATATTATGTAAAGTATTATATAAAATTTAGAGTTTCATTCAGGTCTTAATGGAGCCTCCCATTTAGTTTGACTTAGAGAAACATTACTAGATAAAGGCCTTGAAAACTCATATTCTAAGCTTAAAGGGCATATGATAGTCCCCAGGAGAGACTTCTTCCATCCCCCCATGAGCCACTGGTATCTGACCTTTCTGTCTTGTTCATGAGCAGACTTATGATCTACAAGTGCTAATGACGATTCATGTCCCAGGTAAGAAAGCTGAGACTTGGACCGTTGTCGGATGGACGCTCTGTAAGTAAAAAGAAAGATGAATTAGTCTGTGGATTGTTGGAACAGGACTCAACTGGTTCCAAGTTTACATCACCTGTGTCAAATGAACAGAACTGTTTTACACGGTAACTGGATACGGGAGCTTCCTGAGTGGGTTTGATAGAACTATCAGTCTGGTTGCTATGGTGCCAAGCTAAACCCTGATTCAGAGTACACACACAGAGGCAGGAAGAGAAGAGGCCAAAGTTGTTTCACTAGTCCACCACCAAAAAAGCATCCAAGACTCAAATCTATCCCAAACCCACATGGTTCTGCTATTGCTATAACGGCAATGGCCCATCACTATTACCTCCCTTAGGAGTGTACGATAAGTTTTGATATCTCTCTCTCTCCCTGATGTTTGCTTTAGCATAATTCTACCTGGACACAAATAGACTAGTAGGAGGAAACAGGGACCCTAGTGGAAATTTCTCCAGGCTATGTACTGCCTTTAGGAATGGATTTAATTAACAAATATATTATTGAAATATAATTTAGCTTGATGTGTTCACTGATTCATTCAACAGAAGAAGATTGTGCGCCTACAATGTACAAATCAATGTTAGGTGCTGTGAGGGGACACAAAGACTGGACAATTACAGTCTTCTCCCCTAAGGCGCTTAAAGTTTTATAGAAGAACCATGCATGTAACCAACCCTAATATAAGGAAGAATTGATAAGTGCTATAAAGCAGGTTTAAATAAACAGTATGGAAATTTAAAGGATAAAAGAACATATGTCAGGTGCTACCATGACAGGCTTCATGGAGAAGGTGGCTAAGGTAGGCTGTGGGTATCTGTAGGCTAGAGGAAAGAGCATTGCTGATTGACAGAACAGTATAAAGACAAGTATGGAGATAGGGTTACTAGTTACAGAAACTTAGTATAGAGCAGATATAGGAAGTGATTCGAGCTGTTTTGTTTTCCCCTGAGGTTTCCGGGAAGGAGACTTCTACTTTCTTCTAGGTTAAATTTGAAAGTATGTGACACTGGAATCTGTTGGCAATTATGTCAAGAAAAGAAGCTTCCTAAAAAACAAATACTGAAAAAAAGTAGAGCTGAGAAGGGAAGAAAAAGAAACTGTATGTATCTTGACCAAGTCATTGAAGCCCCAGTCTTGCCTGAAGCCAAAGCCCCTTTGAACTATTTAGTGATGTTTTTATTCTTTCTCTTTAAAGGTTAAAGCAGGTTGGCTGAGGTTTTTTAGCCATTTGCAAATAGACTGCTAAGTGATAAAGGTAATCCTGAAGACTTGAAAGGATGGAAGTTACAATCTCAAAGCACTTGGTCTGAAGAAACACAGTGTAAAGAGGGAGATTGTAGTGATGAGGAGATCTGCGTTAGCTGTGGTAGAGCGATCCACATGGTGTTATTCATAAGTCTCCTGTCATCTGTTTTCAGGTTAGGCTAGACAAAAACAAACACCAAGGTGGCGCCTGCCTATTGCAGATGCTCATCTATCCTTCCTGAGAAGGCAGCAATGCATCAACTTCATGACCCTCACTTATCCCACGTTCATTTGACGGCATCTTTTCCCTTAGTCACCAGGTTCAACAGGTGCATTTATGTCAAGTCCTCCCTCTTGCTCTTGCTCAAACTCTCATTGTGATCAGGCATGAAACCACACCCCACTCTGACTTCCTGCTACCAAACTGGCTTCTGCGACACCCCAAGCCCATCCCATTTGGCCTGAAACTCTGCAGCAATAGAGTCATTTCTTTCAGTTAGGTAACTGAGGTCAAGAGCTCAACTCCCAAAGGTGTGAGGGATAGGTCTGTGTCAGCTAGAGAGAGCTGAGTGCAAGAGAGGGCTGAGACTGAAGGTTAGGGGCCTGAAAAAGAAACTCAGAGCGCTGCCAGACAAGGAAGAGTATGTGGAGAAGAAGAGGGCCCCAGAACATAGTTGACCACCTCCCAGTTCTGAGCAGGGAAGACACCAATCCTTACTCCCTCAAATGTCTACTACTTTAATCTTATGTTTCTTAAATCTCTCGTTCTCTCGTTCCCTGTTGCCCATTCATCCAGCATTCTACCAGTCTAGCATAAGCTGCCCGAAGGAGACCACGAACAGTAAGGGTGTGAGGCAGGGGCCTGACCTGCCGCTCTGGTCTTCCACAAACAGCAGCATGAGGATTCTGTCACTCCCCTTTTCAGAAACCTACAACAGCTCCCCCTCCCTTCCTCAGAAGCTGTGTACCACTTCTCATCCGAAACAAAAACAGCTAATTTGGGAATATATGCTCTCTCTCAACATGATCATTTAGGAAATTATTGTCATCCATGGAAATTGTTCTTGAATCTAAAATATATTACTAAAGAGAGACTTAGGCATCAGAGGGAGGAAATAAGATACAAATTAACATTTCAATTAGCCCTCTTAAAACACAATCTGTCAGCATACACAATAAGATATTTTTAACAGACCTTCTTACTCAAACCTATAAATCTCTCTCTGTAGGAGGTTAATAGCTACTTTTGGTGTACAGGTTGTATTTCTGGGCTTCTCTCCTTAGTCACCAAAATGTAGAATTTGTAAGAGCTAATAGCCAAATAAGAAATGTTCATATTAAAACTGTTATCTGGGCCTAATAGTAAACTGTAAGTAAACTACTTAGAATGGGAAAAATTCTTTTCATTTGAAAAATTAAGAAAATATTTATTTTCTTTTGACCTCACCATGAGATACATTGCCTCTTTGCAAGCTTTAATTTAGTGGTCAAAAGAGATGCCTAGTCATTTTCCGGGTTTAGGAAGTTAGTTGATACCTTCAGACCATGATTCTGATGACCTTTATAATCTTTTTCTTCCACTCAGAAAAAAACATGGTGAAATAACTAATGCCAGATGTCTTTAAAAATTACCTAACAATTTAGGCAATTTTTATAGCTTTTACATTTGAACTATTGCTTTATTACTTTCCAAATTGAAAAAATTCAATGAAACTAGCATTTCTTGAAATTTTCTGAATAGACCTGTCCTTAAAAGGAAAAATAACACCCCTAAGCATAAAACCCAGTGAACTAGTCTTTGAATATTAAAAGTAAATAAATCTATGTTTGAATTACTTGGAGTTATTTCTAGAATATTATATTTTAAGCCTCTTTAACCATTTTTCAATAAACAATTAGCTATCTTGAATAAGCAAGTCATAAATTGAGCCTTTGTTTAGAGCACAGTCTTGAATCAAATATCCTAGAAATGATAAAGGGTCACGGTAGAGAAATGTCAGTCTATTGCCTACAAATAGTCTCTGAACTTAAGAAAAAAAGATCTTGAATAACATTTTCACAAATACACACAAATACTCCTGGGTAGAATTTTTCTTAATATACAGACCTTTAACATTACAGGGACTATTTTTTTAAACTTTTAAACCATAATGAAAGATTAAATTTATAAACTTGCTATAGCATGATCCAAAAATATGCTTTGGAAATCAATACCTACAGAATGATGCCCCCCCACAAAAGTTCATGTTTAGGAAAATATGCTTTGAGTGTTAGATGACACATCTCATATTTCATTTAGTTAANGGATGGGGAATACATGTAAATCCATGGCTGATTCATGTCAATGTATGACAAAAACCACTACAATATTGTAAAGTAATTAGCCTCCAACTAATAAAAATAAATTAAAAAAAAAAAAGACAGTGCTTCATACCACAGTTAATTCTGGGAGACAAGTCTAAACACAGATTTTTTAAAAATCCCCTTTCTAAGCTCAATAAACAACATTTTAACTACAGAGCATCTTTATCATGACCCCCTACTCTCAGTAAAATGAGAAGCCAAATTTAAGAAAGCTCTATGGATTGGAGACAGAAATGTCAACATGGCAACCAACGATTCACTTGCATGTTCATATTACACAAGACCTGGGGCTGTATTTAAGGGCCTTCCAAGTGTACCTGAGATATTGCCAGAAGATCTTAGCTGCAGAGGGTTGCTGAAAACATCTGAAAACTTTAAAATCTGCCCCGTTTCCTGGGCTTACCTTAAGCTAGCCTGGTAGCTCCCTCTGCTAAAGGTCTGTTTTCTCTCAAGTAAGGCATCTTCGGTTTCATCTTTTCCTATTCAATACAACACGAGTGATCCCTTAGTGTATGCAATAAGCAGAATCAGAGCAAAATCAGATTATTTACTATATTTGCATAGCATATTGTTACCATATCTGATCTCAAACAACCTGTTAACTTTATTGCAATAACTAAAAGCTAACACTTGTCCAGCACATTCTAACAATAAAAAAATTAAAAATACTCATCAAGTTTGAATCTTTTGAATCAAATGATAGCCTATGTGATATTACCACAGAAATAGATACCTATAGCTATAGCTGATATGAATGACCAAAAAATCTTGTGAGAAACCCACTGAAAAGAAAAGTGAAAGCATTAGTTGCTCAATTGTGTCCAACTCTTTTTGACGCCATGGACTGTAGCCATGGAATTCTCCAGCAAGAATTCTGGAGTGGGTTGCCATTTCCTTCTTCAGGGGATCTTCCCGACCCAGGGATCAAACCCAGGATTCTTGCATTGCAGGCAGATTCTTTACTGTCTGAGCTACCAGGGAAGCCTGAGAAATCCACTAGAGGTGGCAAAAAAAAAGAAAATAAATAGTAGATGAACCAACTTTAAAAAAAAAATCTTTTCAGAATAAATCACATGTTCAATGTATGCAGTTATTTTACCTGATAGTGTTAACAAATCCAGATTTGATATGGGAGAGAAAGTTTGTAATGGATGCTTAACATAGGTTTAGGTAAACCACCAAATCCTGAGGTTAAGACTCCTGCTTCCAGCAAGAATTCTGGAGTGGGTTGCCATTTCCTTCTTCAGGGGATCTTCCCAACCCAGGGATCAAACCCAGGACTCTTGCATTGCAGGCAGATTCTTTACTGTCTGAGCTACCAGGGAAGCCTGAGAAATCTACTAGAGGTGGCAAAAAAAAAAAGAAAATAAATAGTAGATGAACCAACTTTAAAAAAAAAATCTTTTCAGAATAAATCACATGTTCAATGTATACAGTCATTTTACCCGATAGTGTTAACAAATCCAGATTTGATATGGGAAAGAAAGTTTGTAATGGATGCTTAACATAGGTTTAGGTAAACCACCAAATCCTGAGGTTAAGACTCCTGCTTCCACTGCAGGGGGCATGGGTTCTTGTCAGAGAATTGGATCCCACATGCCACATGATGCGGCCAAAAAAAAAAAAGAAAAGAAAATTCAGTTTGAAAAGGAGAAAGTACATTAGGACCTGAAGTATCTACCTACATTAAAGAAAATATGCATAAAACTTTTTAGTCCTTGTTTAATTCACTCAACCAACAAGAAGAGAGCTCATACTGAGTGCAGGACATTCTAGGAAGACTCTCTTATTTGCAAAGTATGAGGGGAAAAAAGGGGATGGAGTTGAAGTTTCTTCCACAGGAGACCTGGGTTTTAGCCCTATGACTTGATCAATAACTAAACCTCCTGAACATCTGTTCTTTCCTTTATTATCTATGTAATGTCCCCCAGGGCTTTAAGGAGAACAACTAAGACACTATATATTGAAATGCATAGAAATCCAAAAACATCATATATGCTAATTATTTAACACAATGTATAAGCATAACTGAAAAGGCACTTGCCTTTTATGTCTTTTTCATTAAAGGCTTGGTCTCCTTGACTTTGCAAAGTTATTAGAGTGAAGTAAACGCCTTTCCTTTCTAACAGTTCTTCATGGGTGCCTCTTTCCACTGCTGTACCGTGTTCAAAACCAATAATGACGTCTGCAGCTCTAATTGTAGATAGGCGGTGAGCGACAGAAATGATTGTGTGCCCATGCTGAACCTGTGAGGATGTACGGTGCACTGAGTCAGACTGTAAGACAAAGCTGACGGTGACGTTTGGACTGTCTCAGAATCCACAAGTAAGGCAGAGGCTCGCTCCCCAAGAAGATTCGTAAATAGGCTAAACAGACATTAGAAAATGCCAGCATACTTTCTTAGTGGCTAGTAAACACATCACGCGTTGCTCCAGTTGCTGCTATTAATCAACATCTTAAAACCAAAATGTAAAGTTTTAAAATTACATCTTGTGAGTTAGACTTAACAAGACTTAAAATTTTGCATGTGCAGCCTTTAGAAGCAAATCATATGTCTTCTGTTCAACTGTGAGGAACATTGTGGTGAGCCAATATTTTCCAAAGAGATACAATGACCCACAAAAAAAAAAAAAAAAAAAGAGATACAATGACCCCTGTAGTCCGTCTCTCTCTGTCTCTCTTTCTCTTTCTCCTCTCTTCACAGAAGCCTTTGCTACAACAACACAAGGATTTCCACACGGACTTATAAAAGGAACTCAGACTTTCAACAAACCTTACTCAGTGCCTCTTGCACCATGGCTTCACTCTCATTGTCCAGTGCCGAGGTGGCCATGTCCAAAAGCAGGATCTTTGGGTTTCGGACAAGGGCTCTGGCAATGGCTATTCTTTGTTTCTGGCCACCACTCATCTGGCCTCCTCCTTCTCCAACAAGAGTGTCAAATTGCTAGGAAGAAAGCCACATCAGTGATGAAGAGCAAGAATCTGATGGATCCTGACAGTGATCCATTCATTACAAAAGTCCTTTCTAGCTTCCTCCTCAAGCATGAGTTTTCACACATCCATCTTTCACTTAAAAAAAAACAAAACAAAAACCCTTTCCTGAAACAGGCTATTATTTAATCAATATTTGTGTGTAAAATAAAGATATTGATTTATTCTTTCATTCTGGATGATAAAAATGTTTCTTTTTAGCTCAACTTCAAGTAAAATGTTTCCACCACAATAAAAGTTAATCAACATCCTGAAAATCCATTTTAGAGGATTAAAGCATATGTCAATTCCTTGTCTCTATCTTTTAGCTGAACACAGAAAAACACAACACTAAAGTTGTCTATATATTATGAATGAAAGATCAAAGTAGCTTTATAATCACTACCATGAACAGCAAACAGTTACTATCTTGCATGCCCAGGATTACACTGGAATCTCACAAGGGAGTGATGTGGTCAGTCTCTTATCTCACTTATATTAGCAACATGAGTTGAACATCTACCATGCAGAAAGCGTGGATCTGAACTCTTTACACATATCAACTCATTTAGTCCTGACTGATGTTCCATGAGGCAGGTACTACTATTTTCCTTAATGGATGGATAAAGTAATGCTGCAGTCTGAGGGGGTAACTTGCCCAAGTTCATGAATCTTACAAGTGCAGAAGCTGGGATTTGTCCAGAGGCGGTCTGATTCTGAATCTTTGTATTGTTTAACTACTAGACTATATCATACACACATCTGCGATCCTATCCATACAGGCATTTTGGAAGGCTGAGAAGGATGTATTCTAGAGCACAGACTGTGGAACCAGACTACTTTGGATGAGAACCTTGCCTTAAGCAAGTGATTTGACCTCTTGGAACCTCAATTCTCCTTCTGTAGATGGGGATAATAATATAGCTGCCTGACAGGATGATTGGGAGAATTAAATGAACTAATAGATGTGAAGTGCTTAGAAAAGTGCCTGATATGTAGTAAGCACTGCTGCTGCTGCTGAGTCGCATCAGTTGTGTCTGACTCTTGCGACCCCATAGATGGCAGCCCACCAGATTCCCCTGTCCCTAGGATTCTCCAGGTAAGAACACTGGAGTGGGTTGTCATTTCCTCCTCCAGTGCATGAAAGTGAAAAGTGAAAGTGAAGTCGCTCAGTCGTGTCTGACTCAGAGACCCCATGCACCGCAGCCTACCAGGCTCCTCCGTCCATGGGATTTCCCAGGCAAGAGTACTAGAGTGGGTTGCCATTGCCTTCTCCGGTAGTAAGCACTATATTTGTGTTAAATAGTAATAATAATTCTTCTTTGATTTAGCAGACCATTGGCCAAGAAATCCATACAACTATAATACTGAGTTGATTTTGTCATTGCTATAATATAAAATGAAGATAAATGAGGAAATTTTGAATATGTGAGACATAGTACTGAAGACACAGTATTAGCAGCCCAAACACAAGAAAATTTGAGAACAGTAACAACTGCAGACATCAAAAGAGAATTGTGAAAGTTACCACTACATGACATATTTATCATCTGCTTAGACAAATGTTTAAATAGATGGAATAAGGAAATTGTAGGTATGTTAAAGCAAGCTTCTAAAAGAGGGTGCTGCAGTTTGGTAGATTTTAATGTATTAACCACACATATTTTCAGACAAAGAGGGAAACTCAAAATACATTTCCAGGCACAAAATGAAAACATGATATTGATAATTTAGAATTCAAATGAAAAGCAATGCATATTACTATGTAATTTTTTTCCCTCTATGAATTCTGGGTTTCCCTCTGGAATGAGAGGCTAGGGGTACCTGTGGCAGGTCCATGATGAAGTTGTAGGCATTGGCTTCCTTGGCTGCTCGGACTATATCTTCCATTGTTGCATCTGTTCTGCCATAGCGAATGTTCTCTGCAATGGTGGTGGAAAACAGAACAGGCTCTTGCTCCACTATCCCAATCTGAGATCTGAGCCACTGGATGTTAAGAGAGCGAATGTCATGGCCATCCAAGGTCACCTAGAGAACAAAAACCACAACATCACTTCTCTTGGAATCCTTCAAGATTCTGAATACTGCTACTGTGCTGTACTTGATCCATGAGGAGAAAAAATGAGACCTACAAGATTGTGTAAAATAGTCCCTCTTATAATGTGGTTGTTAATATAAGGATGACAATATAAGTTGAAATCAAGTATAGCTGTAGGACAATTCATTGTAGAAACACAACTGATATACAGGTCACTTAGTTTAGCTCAATTGGCCCAAGAATAGGAAAAGCTTTAATTTCTCAATAAAGAGTACAGTCAGTTATTCATCATACTTTAAATATTTCTATCTTTTGACTTGAAGCCAAAATGAACTTCGAAAGATACAAAGAAAATGACCAATGGTCTCTATCTTGCATATATGTGTGTGTTTTAGAATAAAATATTACTTTCTAGCCTGATTCATCAAATGACACTCAAGTGTTCAAATACAATTAAAACTATAAATGGGATAAATAAATAAACATTACTATTAGCAAAAATATAAACATTTTATATAAAAAACATGATTTCTATATATTCAGAGTATAATTATAGTGGTGTGTAGCAAAGAATACCCAATCAGAGAATAAAGTGTCTGTGAAAAAAGAAAACCTTATTACATTTGCCATGTCACTCTGACAGTACCTGCATTATATAGAGCTCATTGCATGGAAAAAGTCATTTAATATACAGTGTAATGATTCTATCTCAAGGCATCAAGGAGATGTTAACAAGAATGATTATGAGGCAGAGTGAAAAGAGCATAGTCTTTGACATCCAATAGATCTGGGTTCAAATCTGGGGCAACTCTCAATTTCTCTGCTTCCTCATTTGTAAAATGGGAATATTTATCTTTGGAAGTTCTGTGAAAATAAGTAATGATCTCTATAAAGTACTTGACATACAATATGTGATAAATAGCAATTATTAATTTTTTTTAGTTTCAGTCTATATTTACTGTCAGACAAACACAAGGAGAAAGAGACTAAGTAGTTTGAAAAAATAATGTAATTATTTTTAGACCTATTTTTTACTCTGAGATGTAACAATCAAGAACTGTTCTCTCTTAATTCTGGCCATGTAAGCTTTCTTATACTTAGTGTTTGGAGAACTTTAAGGAATAATAACAATTTTGTTATAATACAAAGAAAGAAATGGAAATTTTCCCTCACTGAAAAGGCAGCAATACCATTTTGAATGTATCTGTACATTCAGTTACATCACTGAGCAGATGGACTGATTATTCATTGAACACAACTACTATGGAGAGAATTAGTCCATTTGGTTTATTCAAAAAAAATCATTAAGTCAGACTTTGATCCGTGGTCAGGGAAGATCCCACCTGCGGCAGGTTACAGCCAAAAAACAAAACCAAACAAATCATTAACTGAACTATGCAGATGTCAAAGTGCTGTCAGTGTTTGCTAGGTGTTTGTATTTGACAAATATATCACCCTTTTCAACCTACTTTCCCCAAGTGGCTCACTGATAAAGAATCTGTCTGCCAACGCAGGACAGGCAGAAGACACAGGTTCCATCCCTGGGTCAGAAAGATCCTCTGGAGTAGGAAATGGCACCCCACTCCAATATTCTTGCCTGGAAAATTCCATGGACAGAGGAGCCTGGTGGGCTAGTCCATGGGGTTGCAAAGAGTTGGGCATGACTGAGCATCCATGCACACATTCCCATGTATAAGAAGTTTCTGGAAGATACACACCATGCCTTCAGTGGGGTCATAGAATCGCTGAATGAGCTGCAGCGCTGTGCTTTTCCCAGCTCCACTGGATCCCACCACAGCTGTCACTTCCCCTGGTTTAATGACTGTGCTAAGTTTATTTAAAATCTGCAGAGCAAAGAAAAGAACAATGTTCAGGTTGTCATCAGTTAGGCTACAAGTTAGAACACTTTGTTAGGACACTGTGTATGTGTCCCACTCATGCCCTCATAGCAACATCCATTGATTTCTATTAATAACCAGAAAAATTAGTAAACAGTGCTAGGATGTGTTTTTAGCATTTAGCATATTACTTAGTCATAAATTAATAGCCATAGCCAACAAATAAAATGATGTGTGGTAACACTATTGAAGTAAATAAGCCAGGCCCACCTCGAAAACTATGTTCCAAAATCTAATTTAAAATTTTCTGACATGCCAGGATACCTCAAGGAGACTGCCCCAATTACCCTTAGGGGAGAAAGTCACTTAGCAGTAGAAGACTTTGTTAAAGCAAACTACTGGCATTGAGAATAGAAGATAAAACAGAAATGAAATAAATGTATTTCAGTTCAACTGGTATTTGTTGAACAGCTGTCTTTGAACAGATATTATAAAGTAAATTTTTAGCCATTTATTTAAAAATGTTTACTGAGTAAGTACTACCTTGTTATTTATATTTCACAAGGCATTTTTACATTTAATGTTTATATATGTATGTGTGTTATAATCAAGAATATACTTCAGAAATATCAGAATATACATGTACCTATATTATATACATATATAAGTATGTATGTATGATGTATATTTGTTTGTATGTGTATATATGTAAATTTACTTATGTTACAACTATGTAGTATTAGAATTAAGTTGCATTTCCATGACCTCTGTGGGGATAATAGAAATATTAAGGAAGGGTAGCTAACTATGGAAAACAGTCAAAGTTTCCTCAAAATATTAAAAATGGAACTGCCAAATGATCCAGCAATTTCACTCTGTATATTTATCAGAAAAAAAACAGAAACATTAATTTAAAAAGATACATGCAGGGGAGGAGCCAAGATGGCGGAGGAACAGGACGGGGAGACCACTTTCTCCCCTACAAATTCATTGAAAGAACAATTGAACGCAGAGCGAACTTCACAAAACAGCTTCTGATCGCTAGCTGAGGTCATCAGGTGCCCAGAAAAGCAGCCCATTGTCTTCGAAAGGAGGTAGGACAAAATATAAAAGATAAAAAGAGAGACAAAAGAGCTAAGGATGGAGATCTGTCCCGGGAAGGGAGTCTTAATAGAGGAAGTTGCCAAACACCAGGAAACCCTCGCACTGGTGGGTCTGGGGGAAGTTTTTGAATCTCGGAGGGCAACCTAACTGGGGGGGGGAAGAATAAATAAAACCCACAGATTATGTGCCTAAAAGCAACTCCCAGCAGAAAAGTACCCCAGACACCTGCATCCGCCACCAGCAAGTGGGGGCGGAACGGAGAGGAGCAGGTGGCATTGCTTAGGGTAAGGACCGGGCCCGAAGGCCCTAGGAGCAATCGGAGGGAGCTTTTGTGAGTTACCAACTTAAACTGTGGGATAGCAAGAGAGAGAAAATTAACCTGCCCTAACACACTGCCGGCTGTTTGCAGAACAAAGGGTATGAGCAAGTCCAGAGAAGAGCTCGCAGGCTGCGGACCGGCCCAGCCCCGCCGGAGGCTGGAGGCAGGGGGGAGGGGAAAGGGGCAGGCTTGGCCCCAAGGACCACATCCCCTACCACACTGCAAACAGGCCTCCAGTTTCTAACCAAAGACTTCCCGAGATTCCAAATGGTCGACATCCGCTGGGAGGGTCGCGGCGAGACACAGGGCGCACGCACCCGACCGGCGCAGGCAGGGACTGGGGCTGGGGACGGGGATGGGAGAAGGCGCACGCATCCGACTGGCGCGGGCGGAAACTGAGGCTGGGACCACGGAGGGGAGTAGGCGCGCCGCACCCGGGGAGAGTGCGCCCGTCAAGCTCCTGGCTGCCTGAGCCGCTCGGGCGGGGAAGGCACAAAACGCAGGCGCAGCCGAGTCCGCGCTTTTGTGGAACACCTGAGGGCCGGAACTGCGCACAGCGCAGGGCACGCTCCATATAGAATAGCCTGAGCAGCGTAGAGGGGAAAGCAGCACCAGCCCCTCACCGCAGCCCAACGGAACTAGCAACCTGAATAAGAGTCCACCTCCGCCCGCCTGTGTCAGGGCGGAAATTAGGCACTGAAGAGACCAGCAAAGAGAAGCCAAATAAACAAAGGGAACCGCTTCAGAAGGGACCGGTGCAACAGATTAAAATNCAACAGAGTGTCACTCAGGTGACTTAACTGGAATGTGCTACCAAACTGTTCCTACCAAAGAGATTTGTATATTATTATTATTAGCACAAGGAATGTGGTTAGTGGCCTAAGGAACAAGACCTGAGGACACTTCCAGAGAAACATGCCTCTGTGCTCCTGGAAAATGAGTCATGCTTCAGAAAAACAAGTAATCTGTGGCTCTGGAAATGAATCATCAAAGAAGAAAATTGGAAAAAGACTGGCACGTACCTTCACCTCTGGTCTGGAAGGATAGTGGAAGGTCACATTATGGAATTCAATTTCACCCTTAATTCGATCCAGCTTGTAACCATCTTCTGACATGCAGTCAATGAGGGGTTTCTGAAATGGAATGTAAAAGGGATAGAGCAATAGCATGTGTAAAATGCATTTACTGTCCATCTCAGTTTAAATTTACTCATAACACAGAACAGCAATCAGGCTAAACATTGCCAAAGATAAGCTGCTTCTACATGAAATTGTATTAGTAATGATGTTCACTAACACTTATTGGGAAATTAATGTTGAGATTACTACTGTGTAATTACTATTGCTATATAATTGTATTAAAATATATATTATACATATATGTAGATTTATATATAACCAAACTTACATAAATAATTAATGTATAATTAATCATAATTAAAACTGTCAATGATCACATAATTTGTGTAAAACATTATCACATTAATTTAATTTAATTAGTATTTATTTTATATTACTGTGATATATTTTATATAGTAAAAATATCACAATATATGGTATTAATCTGTAATTAATATATTAGTATATAATATATTGATATTATTATGGAGTATTATAATATTGAGATACCCAAGAAGACAAACTACAGGTGTTTTAACATTTTTTTCTTTTATGTGATCATCACCATGACCTAACTTGACAGATGATACACATTTGTTCATTAAGGAAGTAGAGGAGTCTCAAGTGGTCACGGTCCAATAGCACCCTACATTTGACTATTGTAGATGATGATTGACACTAACTGAATGTCCTTAAGTGATGTCTTCAAATGCCACCAACTTTTAATTGACATGCTGTATTTCACCTCCATGGCTGTTAGTAGTGAGCCTAATTCAGAACTTAACCATGGTGGATAATCAGATCAGAGTGATGGTTATCTCCTGCTACCAGAACACTCAGGGTCAACTTCTTCCTTCTCTTACCCTAGTGAGAGAAATTCATCATCCTACCTCTTTTGGGGGCTACAGTGTCATCTATTTCCTTCTTTATTCTCTAGTAAAAATAATAATTTTTAAATGCCTTAATTTTTTGTAATAGTTTCAAGGAACTTTTAGACACATCTTATTTGAGCATACAACAATGCCAAGAATGAGGTAGAATTTGGATAGCTCTACCTGGTTTTCAACTATCTTTCTATAGCCCAATAAATGAAACCCCAGAATATAAAACAGATAAAGTGATGGACAGTTTCCTCAGACAGGTTCTGTATCTCACCAGCACTTACAATGTAGGGACCCACAATGTACGTCTGGATTTCCAGGGCTTCTGACTCAGTCCTTGGCATCTTCTCAGAGAAGATGCTCTTGGAATTTGACCTTTCTATCCATCCTAAAGGAGATCAGTCCTGCATGTTCACTGGACGGACTGATGCTGAAGCTGAAACTCCAATACTTTGGCCATCTCATGCGAAGAGTTGACTCATTGGAAAACACCCTGATGCTGAGAGGGATTGGGGGCAGGAGAAGGGGACGACAGAGGATGAGATGGCTGGATGGTATCACTGACTTGATGGGCATGAGTTTGAGTAAACTCCAGGAGTTGGTGATGGACAGGGAGGCCTGGCGTGCTGTGATTCATGGGGTCGCAAAGAGTTGGACATATTATGCTAAGTGAAATATCAGACAGAGAAGGACAGATACTGTATGATCTCACATATATGTAGAATCTAAAAATTAAAATAAGCGAACAAGCAAAACAAAATGAAAACCGACTCAGAGATACAGAGAACAAATGAGTGATTGCCAGAGGGGAAAATATGTGAAGGGGTTAAGGAGGTAGAAGCCTGAAGTTATAAAATATATAAGGCACGTGGACATAATATACAGCATACGGAATATGGTCAATAATATTGTAATGATTTTGGATAGGGGCATATGATAATTAAACTTTCCACAGTGATCATTTCATAATGCATGCAAATATCTAATTGCTATTTAGCACACCTGAAAGTAGTACAGTATTGTGCATCAACTATTTTTCAATTAAAAGTAAATAAATGAAAAGAAAGGGTGGCTAAAGATACTCTGTTAAAAATGAGGAATAAGTCTCCTCTCCTTCCAAAGCCAGTTCTTTTAGAGAAGCAGATTCTAAGTTTCCTGTAGGGTAAATTGCCTTTAAAGACACCTGCTCAGTAGGTGTGGGAATAGTGTAAATTTTCTTCACCTTGTGCCCAGAACAGTTGAATAGTACAAGACAGTGATTATAAGATTACAAAATACCTTTCCTCTAAGGACTGATCTAATGAACCTTGCAAACATGGATATGAAGTAAAAAATTTCAGATAGCAGCTTTCCTTTGCCACTTCATACCCCACCCAGGCAGTGTTCTACCTTCTGCAGCCTCTAAGAGATACTTGTTCTCATTGCCTTGCAGTTTGTTTAGCTTGCGCTCACAGTGACAGGACCTGCCGCTCATTTCGATAGAGTGTCACTCAGCTGACTTAACCGGAATGTGCTACCAAACTGTTCCTACCAAAGAGACTTGTATATTATTATTATTATTAGCACAAGGAATGTGGTTAGTGGCCTAAGGAACAAGACCTGAGGACACTTCCAGAGAAACATGCCTCTGTGCTCCTGGAAAATGAGTCATGCTTCAGAAAAACAAATAATCTGTGGCTCTGGAAATGAATCATCAAAGAAGAAAATTGGAAAAAGACTGGCACGTACCTTCACCTCTGGTCTGGAAGGATAGTGGAAGGTCACATTATGGAATTCAATTTCACCCTTAATTCGATCCAGCTTGTAACCATCTTCTGACATGCAGTCAATGAGGGGTTTCTGAAGTGGAATGTAAAAGGGATAGAGCAATAGCATGTGTAACGTGCATTTACTGTCCATCTCAGTTTAAATTTACTCATAACACAGAACAGCAATCAGGCTAAACATTGCCAAAGATAAGCTGCTTCTACATGAAATTGTATTAGTAATGATGTTCACTAACACTTATTGGGAAATTAATGTTGAGATTACTACTGTGTAATTACTATTGCTATATAATTGTATTAAAATATATATTATACATATATGTAGATTTATATATAACCAAACTTACATAAATAATTAATGTATAATTAATCATAATTAAAACTGTCAATGATCACATAATTTGTGTAAAACATTATCACATTAATTTAATTTAATTAGTATTTATTTTATATTACTGTGATATATTTTATATAGTAAAAATATCACAATATATGGTATTAATCTGTAATTAATATATTAGTATATAATATATTGATATTATTATGGAGTATTATAATATTGAGATACCCAAGAAGACAAACTACAGGTGTTTTAACATTTTTTTCTTTTATGTGATCATCACCATGACCTAACTTGACAGATGATACACATTTGTTCATTAAGGAAGTAGAGGAGTCTCAAGTGGTCAAGGTCCAATAGCACCCTACATTTGACTATTGTAGATGATGATTGACACTAACTGAATGTCCTTAAGTGATGTCTTCAAATGCCACCAACTTTTAATTGACATGCTGTATTTCACCTCCATGGCTGTTAGTAGTGAGCCTAATTCAGAACTTAACCATGGTGGATAATCAGATCAGAGTGATGGTTATCTCCTGCTACCAGAACACTCAGGGTCAACTTCTTCCTTCTCTTACCCTAGTGAGAGAAATTCATCATCCTACCTCTTTTGGGGGCTACAGTGTCATCTATTTCCTTCTTTATTCTCTAGTAAAAATAATAATTTTTAAATGCCTTAATTTTTTGTAATAGTTTCAAGGAACTTTTAGACACATCTTATTTGAGCATACAACAATGCCAAGAATGAGGTAGAATTTGGATAGCTCTACCTGGTTTTCAACTATCTTTCTATAGCCCAATAAATGAAACCCCAGAANGAGGATTCTCCAGGCAAGAATACTGGAGTGGGTTGCCATGCCCTGCTCCAGGGGATCTTCCCAACTCAGGATAGAACCAGGTCTCCAGAATTGCAGGCAGATTCTTTACCATCTGAGGCACCATTGCACTTATCACTGTCTAATATTATCCTATCTTTGGATATGTCTACTTCATTAATGCCTATTTCCCATATAATATGAGAGGAAGGGCCTTATTTGCTGTATTTCACTCTTGCACTCCCATCTCAGACTGTGGTCTGGCTCATGACAGTACTTATTAAGTATTGTTGAATTAAGGGCATTGTGATAGTTCCTCATACTTTTTAACACTGAGGATAAATTCCTCATGAGTTCATTTCTCTCCCCACCCTCAACTTGCTAATGGCCATTACTTTTGGCTTTTACATACCCGGTCTATTGTCTCAAAGATGCTGGCGGCTGCAGCACGCCCAGCTGCAAAGGCTTCCAAACAGGAAGAGGCATTGCCAAGATTTAAAGCTCCTACTATGACACTGAGGAAAATCTGAAATAAAAAGAGATAAACATAGTTTTCATCAGTTTGTAAATAGTGTTCATTGTCATTTGGGCTATCCATGTGAACTCAAAAATTTCTCAGAAATATTCTTCTATGGGAGTTTTATTTATTTTTTTTAATGTCTGTGAGCAGACCACCTTGGTCTTTGTTGGTCAGAGACATGCAGTCCTTATCACATGGTCCTCTCTATAGGACAGCTCACAACACAGCTTTTTAAAAAATTTATTTATTTTAATTAATTAGTTTTTTTTGCACTGGGTCTTCATTGCTGCATGCGGGCCTTCTCTAGATGTGTCGAGGATGGGGGCTGCTCTTCAATGTAATGTACAGGCTTCTCATTGCAGTAGTTTCTCTTGTTGTGGAGCATAGGCTTCAGCTGTGCGGGCTTCAGTAGTTGCAGCACATGGGCTCACTAGGGCTTCAGTAGTTGCAGCTCTTGGGCTCTAGAGCATGGGCTCGTAGTTGTGGTGCATAGGCTTAGCTGCTCCTCAACATGTGGAATCTTTCTGGACCAGGGATTGAACTAATGTCCCCTACATTGGCAGGCAGATTCCTGTTCACTGCACCACCAGGCAAGTTCCTTCTGTGGGAGTTTGAAAGCTAAATAACTCTTTGGAAACACTTGGGATAGCTTTTGTTCTGTAAAGTATCTCCAATTTTTCTACTGTTATGATTTAAAAGATTACATTATTTTTGATTGCACATCACTATTCTACAAAGAATAACATGTTTTTAGGTCAGTAAGAGGTGTAAGGCAGCATATAGACACTGAGTGGGTTAGAGTCATGACACAAGAATTTGATTCATTATATAAACAGCCTTACAATGGTTTTCTGGTGAAAGGGTTACTGAAACAATAAAGACACTATTATTAGCTTGACTGTCCTAGTTTGTTACATGCAATATGTGCCTACTGCTTCTGCTATATTCCTGCTAAGTGAAATGAAGTTGCTCAGTCATGTCCGACTCTTTGCGACCCCATGGACTGTAGCCCACCAGGCTCCTCAGTCCATGGAATTTTCCAGGCAAGAGTACTGGAGTGGGTTGCCATTTCCTTCTCCAGGGGATCTTCCCAAACCAGGTTATCAAACCCGGGTCTCCCGCACTGCAGGCAGATGCTTTACTGCCTGAGCCACCAGGGAAGCCCCATATTCNGACTCTTTGCGACCCCATGAATCGCAGCATACCAGGCCTCCCTGTCCATCACCAACTCCTGGAGTTTACTCAAACTCATGTCCATCTAGTCGGTGATGCAGCCTTGGCTAATTTCAAAGGATACACTAGAGACAAAATGGCCCAACACAGTTGTATATATGTATATATAGAGAGAGCTTCCCTGGTAGCTCAGCTGGTAAAGAATCTGCCTGCAATGCAAGAGATGCTGGTTCGATTCCTGGGTTAGGAAGATCCACTGGAGAAGGGATAGGCTACCCACTCCAGTATTCCTGGTCTTCCCTGGTGGCTCAGCTGGTAAAGAATCCACCTGCAATATGGAAGACCTGGGCTCAATCCTTGCCTGGGAGGATCCCCCAGAGAAGGGACTGGCTACCCACACCAGTATTCTGGCCTGGAGTATTCAATGAACTGTATAGTCCATGAGTTGGTAAAGAGTCGCACATGACTGAGTGACTTTCACTTTCTCCATCACATTTTGTCCAGCTGTCAGGCTCATCTGCTGCTATTGCACACGAGTGGAGTGGCCAGCTTCCTGCGTAGAGCTGGGGAAGCCATCCTTTGACGCATAAACCTGGCCATCTCGCTGAGTTAGAGGAAGGCTATCTGATCACAATCAGCTGTCCCTAGCCAACAGCACTGTTTTCATCAGTGCTATTTGTAAAGGAAGAGGCAATTCCTCAAGCTGGCGTCTAGGATGGGCACATGATTCTTTCTCTCTTTCCTTTCAACCAAAGAATGATTGTTTGTCACGTGACTCACATGGAGGCTGTTTCCTCGGTCACCATATATTGAGGATTGGAGCTATTTGCTGAGCTAAAATAAAGGTTGACTCCTGCTTGAATGTAGTCTTTTTCAGGTAATCAAGTGATCCTAGTCTGTGGTAGTTTCATGAGCTGGATTCTTTCCATAGATTATATCACATCGGAACAAAATACCCCAAATTCCTCCCCATTCTCTTTTTCCCTTATGGCTAGGCCGTGGGGCTTCTCAAAGCCTGTTAGCCATCTCCTCCCTCTCTAATATCCTCTCTGTTCTATATATCATGATGCTGTGGGCCAGCTTCTTCTTGACTTCTCCCTGAATTCCCTAGGCTATGCATGGAGACAAACATTCTCTCTTCATCTGTCCTCCACCTGTCCATCTGTCCTTTTCCTTAATTATGGCAAGTATTCCTCCCATGGGCAGATTACTTAATCTCTCAAGCCCCGATTTCATTATTGATAACACGGGGAAAATGACTGCATATATGTCAAGGAGTTTTTACAGGGATTAAATGATAATGTGTGTAGAGATGATTAATCTAATAACAGCTATGAAAATAATAGTGATGATGGTGATGAAAGAAGTGAGATTCCACATAGGAAGTGATAAGATGAACAGACAGAACAGTACTTGTTCTTGGTTTAATTTTCCACATGTCCTAGTTCAAGAGTTGGTAAACATTTTCCATAAAGGACCTGTTAGTAAACATTTTAGGCTTTTCAGGCCATATGGACTGAAGCAGTTATTCAACTCAATTCCTCAACTATGTAGGACAAAAGCTTTCATAGACAGTAGGAAACAAGTGACTGTGGCTATGTTCCAATAAAATGTTATTTACAAAAACAGGCCACAGTCTGGATTTGATTTGCGGACCATTGTTTGCTGACCCCTGGTCTAGATTCTAGACCAATTCACTAGTGGCCTAAACTGAAGTTTGAAGTCAAANTCAATATCTTGTGGTAACCTATAATGGAAAAGAATCTGAAAAAGAATATATATATATATATGTATATATGTATAACTGAATCACTTTCTTATACACCTGAAACTAACACAACATGGTAAATCAACTGTACTTCAATTAAATAAATAAAATAAAATGGAATCTGTGGCCCTTTGGAAGAGATTCAGAAACAGGAAAACAGTACTTAATGGGTCAGGTCCCAGAATCGCAGAAATCTGGGCTCAAATCCCATCCTCTGCTACTTGACATATAATTCTCACCTCGTGGCTCCAACTCATTTTCAAGTGCTGGCATAATGGCATCAGTTACAGAGTGAAATTGTGAATAGTACACATGGTAATTATACTAAATACTTCACTTAGTGCTTGACACCTTGTATACACTAAATAATGCTCCTCTCTATTACTGCTGTTACTTTTTCATTACTCAGTCCTGAAACTTAAAAGGGGCATGAAAGAGCAGACTTCAGCACCATTCAGTTCCCTTTTATCTTTCTTTGTAATAGATCACAGACTGTGGTTTTTGTCCATGTACAAGTGATACTAATTACAGCCATTTATGTGAACTACTTACCATTTAGGCCCAATTACCATGCAGCCAATAATGATTTTGTGCATCACAAAATGTGTTAGATTAACCTAATTGTTAATTAGTTTAGTGGATTAAAAACACTCAGCTCATGCAAACTCAGCCTTAATAGTTCGCAGCTCAGAGCATGGCCAATAAAGTGCATGCACATGCAAGAGAAAGAAAGAGAAAGAACCAGAAAGGGAATGCTTACCAATGATTATACTGTTAAAGAATGTCTCTCATCTTCCCAAAGAAAAATTTCTTAAGATATAAATGGTGGCTTACAAGGAGTAAGAGGTAAGGTTAGTAACTTATGATTAAACATTAGAGACATATTACATACCATGTCTGCACATAGTAAGTACTCAAGAAATATCAGTTGAGAGAAGGAATTCTTTATAGAAGGTATACAGTAGCCTATAATCCACTGGGCAGGAAACTTGAAGGTGAAAACTTGTTAAATGAGTTAAACAAAGTTGCCATTTGACTGAGGTAGCATTAATGCCTTAGCAGCTCATGTAAGCCACCAAAACCTAAGCCTGAATGCCTCAAGGCTAAGAAATCAAAAGCTAAGGACAAAGATTATCATGAACAGCCAAAGAGGCTTTCCAAAATAAGGCAACTAGCTCCCGGAGTTAGGTAAAACTAATGTCCATTGAGCTGGTGATGCTATCTAATCACCTGGTGTGCTGCAGTCCATGGGGTGGCAAAGAGTAGGACACAGCTTAGCAACTAAAACAACAACAAAATAAGGCAATTACTTAAGCTACAGCCAGCCCAATAATTTCCTGGCTTTGCTTCCTCCTCTTCTCCTCTCTGTTTAAGTCTTTTCCCTAACTTCTATTAATAGAACCCCTCTAGCTACTCCTCGTTTGATGTGCCCAACTAGAATTATATTTGCTCAAAGAAACTCCTAAAAATTTTAATATGCCTGAATTTATCTTTTAACAAAACCATAAAATTGGATCTTTTCTAGAGAGACTCACCAAGGATTTTTTTTTTTAATTCAATGGTTCCAACTAAAATTATGTATTTTCAATTTACCATTTTCTCATTATTCCCTCTGAAACTGTTATTTGTGAACACTTCTCTCCTCTAGTCAGTCAAGAAAGCATAAGAAGAATGTCTTTTCTCAGTGAATGCCTTTCTGCAGAATGAGCAGATACAAGCTGCTGAGACTGAAATCAACTACAGGTATTTCTAGTTCGGTAAAGCTAGACGTTCTTGAGTCATTAGGTCAATAAAGAAAAAGACTTTACAGTCAGATTTTAGACCTGCAGTAGTTTCACTGGCTTTTCAAATGTGCAAAGCTGTATTAAAGTTATTAAGTAAGTGCTTAAATTAATAGTAACACTTTCCTTCTATGCTATCCCTTTAAGGTTTATAAAACATTTTAACGTGATTCATCATATTTAATTTTTTAAAACAAAGTTCAAGTGATGCCAACTGTTTATCTTTAAAAGAAAAAACTAAAATTTATAAAGTCATCATTAATGGCACTTCCATGGTAGTCCAGTGGCTAAGACTCCAAGCTCCCAATGCAGGCGGCCTGGGTTCAACCCCTGGTTAGGGAACTAGATCCCACATGCTGCAACTAAGAGTTCATGTGCCACAACTAAAGATCCCATGTGCCACAGCTAAGATGCAGTGCAGCTAAATAATAAATACATATATTTTTAAAAAGTCATTCTTAGTGTATTATTAGGTTCTTAATGAAATAAATAAAGTCAATGGCTTAGAATGATTATGACCTGACCTCTAATAACCATTTCTATTTGCAAATAAAATTTCTATTCAACTTTCCCTAGATATGTATTTGTCCAAAAGCAGTAGGTTTCAAATTGCAGTCTTCTGGCTAGCAAATTTCTGTTATACGAGATTTTGGTATTTTGCATTATTTAATTTATGCCTGTCCTACAAGAACCTGGAACCAATTTGTTTTAAATCTTATATGAAACCACTTGCATGCCTTTTAAATTAATATACTTTATTGAATAATTAATAGGTCAAATGAAACATATATTTCTTGTTTTATCTCCCTGACCTCATAGAGCTTACTGTGTGAAGTTGGGAACGAACTGGAACAAATATAAGTAAATGCAAGTGTTTAGATGCATTCAAGGACTCTAAAGGAAAAGTTCATAAGGACATTCAAGAGAATAAAAGATAGGATGACTGGACTTCCCTGGTGTTCTAGTGGTTAAGACTCTGAGCTCCCATTGCAAGGAACTTAAGTTCTGCCCCTGGTCAGGAAGCTAAGATTCCACATGGCAGGGGGCAGCGCCAAAATATTATTTAATTAAAGGTTTTGAAACTTAAGGTTCCCTTCTTTTCCAGGGGCTTTTGGCTTGCCGGGTTCTTTTTTCTTTGGCTTTTCCCGGCAAGGATTCTTGGGTTGGTTTGCCGTTTCTTTTTCCGGGGGTTTTTGTTGCCTTGGGGTTCAACCCCGGTTTTCTTGCTTTGGCGGGCGGTTTTTTTCCCCCGGGGCCTTCTTGGAGGCCCCAGGAAAGGGTTGGCCTTTAAAAAAAACAAAAAGATTGGATGATCATGGAACACCTGAATGGGGAAGTGCCATCCAGTTAAGAATTTGAACAAGGACAGGAGCTATAAAGGTGGCAGGGAGGGAAGATTTGGCGATAGCAAGCAAGAGGAAGAGCTTTCCCTGACCCCAGCCACACCTGGTTAGCCTGCTCTTCACAGTTGAGGGCTCTGTCCTCTGTAGTGTATAAAAGCATTGTCATTACACAGTGATGTGATTATTTAGTTATTGCTAACCTGCCCCCACTAAACTGTAAATTCGATCAAGGCAAAGATCACACTTCTTTTGCTCACTATTGAATCCTCTGCACTTTGTATGAATCTGGCATATAGTAGATGCTCAGTAATTAATTCTTGAAAGAACAATTGAAAAGATATTGGAAATTAAAGTAGCCAAGGCATTAGCTATAGCTTTGCTACATTGCAAATGAGAAATAAAATATACCTGTATTACCTGTTCAGTTGAGGGTATTATTGGCTTCATATTTTAGTAACTCATTTTATTTCACAACTATGTCCAGCACATATCTCATGCTATTATTAAGCTCAACCACATAAACTGTTAATTTTTAGCTGAGAGATCCCCTGACTTTCCATTTTCATGGCATATTATCTTTTGGACTCAGAAAAATCATTGTTTTACAGCTATAAAATCTTCCATTGATTGAAAAGCATTAAATCATGAATCTTATCAACTCAAGTGCTCAACATCCCTCTACTATAAAAGTCATAAGTATTGCTTGTATCTGCAGATGGACTCCATCAAATCACTGAGGCTGTCCTCTCTCAGATACTAATGGAATAAACAAAGTGCCTTCTCTGTGGACTTTTCCGAGATACAGGCAGGAAATGTTCTGTCTAGGTCATCAAGATGGAAGTACCTGAACAAGAGCTCCTGGTGTATATTCTTCATCATCCAGGACAAGTTTGGAGCCATACCAGAAGGCCAACGCGTAACACAAGAAGATCAGACACCACATGAATCCAGTAAAGAATCCCATCACTATCCCTTTTCTAATTCCCCAGCGCTGGGCAAACACAAGATTTTTCTCATACCTGTGAAGAGAAAACATTTGGGTCTATTTTAGCAATGGCAGCTTAAGGTAAAATGTTTAAAACAGGCCACAATGCAGTGGTTTTAATCAATGATAATAAAATCACTCCAAACACAGAGCAGCTGTAGGGAAAGAAAACAACAATCACATCTGTATAGTTTCTTAGAATTTGTTCCAAGCTGACATTGACAATGTATTGATAGATGTTGCCTAAGAAAGTCTCAGAGTTGATGACTTCTTAGATGAGTATGATGGGGCGTTTTGCCCCCAGGAGAAAAGAATTTTAACAAAAAGATTTAGACATGAGAGATCCAGTACTGTTGTTGCTGGCCAAAATCGTCACTTTATCTGCCAACGAGCTGAATAAGAAAATACAGAGACAGAGCTTGGAGGACATAGGAAGCTGCCTTTAATTGTCAACCGGCAGAGAGAGAAACATAGTAGGCTCAAGCCTCAAGAACTGTGACCCCCTCCATGAGGAGTCTAGGGGCTTATATGAGATGAGGGCTTGCAGTCAGGAGCCAGCGGTGAGAAACAAAGGTGTTAGGATCTTGTTCAGAAACATATGCTAGCGTCAATAACCCAGTAATTGAGTTTGGCAGTTCCGTGGCTCAGTGGCCTTCTTCCTGATATGTAAAAAGAAGAGCTACAAAGGGAAGAGGTGGTTGCAAAGGTAAGCAAAGGATAATAGGTGTGATGTGCAACTCTTGCAGAGTAAGGGGGCAGAAAAGCAAACTTAGTTATAGATACGCAGAGTTAGCAACAGTTAAAGTAAAAAAAAACTAGGAATGTTCAGGTCTTCTCACTGTTCTCTTTATCTTCTTGTCCTCAGGAAAGAAAAAGAAAAGAACCCATTCCTTACTTTTCATTGCAACACTATTTGAGTTTGAATTCTTTTTTTTTTTTTCTTTTCATCCTAGGTTTTAGTTTATTTCAAATGTTTGAGTACAATGACCAGCACACACCAAAGAACAATCAGGGACGTAAGGAAGGAAGGCAGCGTGAGCAACACGTGACAAGGACTTCGGATGCCGGTATCATCCGACACAGGCTACAGGGCGGCTGTGCTGACTCAACGACGTGACGTCTTTTAAAGAAGTTCTCTATTATTGCTGGCGCTAAACCTGGAAGAATTTTGCCTTTTGTCTTTCTTCACTGTGGGCTGAGGGGCTGGCACTTTTATTTTACTAGGTACTGCAGTTGGGGCAGCAATAAGGCTGTTTTTCCTGCTGGGAGTCTATTATGTCTTGTCCTTCTTTTGAACTTTTCCCACTTTTCCCTGGTTTGGGTGATTCTTTCTCCTTCTTGTTTTTATTCGGCATGGCTGGTGCGGACCGCCGCCGCCTCCCCCGCCGCCTGCTCCGGCCCCGGCTGCCGCCGGCGGCCCGGGGACTGAGTCGTTCGCTAGCTCGCGGTTCCCCTTTCCCAGGCTCCCAGAGGCTGCGGCGGCGGCGGAGGCAGCCTGAATTCTTTTATTAAGTCGTATGGTATGAAAGATAATACCTCTCATGGTGGAGGAAATGGGCTATTGAAATTTTTTATGAGAAATGAGATAACCTTATTTTTCCACAACCAAAAGAAGCAAGAGAGAAAAAAGAAAACAGGATAATTAGATATTGTAAATCCTATTTCATTTTTCATTTGGTGAATTTGGTAGCAACTGATAATGTGATCATGCTAGATCTACAACATATGAAATAAGAGTTTAATTAAGTTGGTGGCTATTTTATAGAATCAGTACCTAGAACCTGATAAACACTCAATAAATACTAAATAAATGGAAAAATAAACAAAGTCAAAGTTTTAACAGTTGTGTTGTTTTGCCTAGGTTTTGATATTCATTAACAATTATTATCTCCTAGAATGATGGTCTATAATATATCAATGTCAAATTTTTTTTGATTGAATGGAAATCTTGGACTTCAAATGAGCATACAGTAGCTAAGTAAAACACATTGAATAAAAAGCTATTCAATAAAAATGTGCAGAATTGCATTTTAAATCTTGTAGGCTTTTTCTTAATGGTAGAAGACAGTGGTTTAGACTGTCATGAAGTGTGTGTGGGGTGTATACACACACATCATCAGAGTTTGACGTAAGTATCCAAACTAAAACGACTTTTTAAAAACTACCAACTACATCATCTTCAAAAACACAGAGCTAAAGGTTTGGGAGTCTTTTGTAAGTGTTTTCACCAATCTTATTACTTTGCTTAGCTATTTCTTGAACAAAAGCTCCCTCTGGGCACCATAGCAAGGTGAATCTGCCACTTTATACAAAATGGGGGAAGATTCAGGGTTAGTGTGCAGATCAACAAACTCCAAGGAAATGTCAGACATTTCAATTAACTAGCTTTTTTTCCTTTCTTTCTTTTTATTTCTTACTCCCTTTTTATTTTATTTTTTGGCTTTGCTGCGAGTCATGTGGGATCTTAGTTCCCTGACCAGGGATAGATAGAACGCACAGCCCCAGCATTGGAAGTTCGGAGTTTTAACCACTGATTCACCAGGGAAGTCCCTCAATTAACTAACCTTTCAACCTCTTTTTTCTCACCACCAAAAGCAGCCACTGTTCGGATAGATGATATGACTTCATCAGCAACTGAGCCAGCTTTGGCATAGGCCCTTAATTCATAGTCGGTAAATCTGGACACACTCTGAAATCCAAAAGAAGAAAATAAAATGTGAAGACCAGATAATTAGGTAAGTCACCTTGTCCCTCAGTGGTTCTTTTAGCATGTGGTATGGCTTAAGACAAAACTGGATTCCCACTGAAACAGTGTTTAACAAAGAAAGAATTTGGTCCAAGTTTGAGCCATGTTAAGCCTCATCTGGGCTTTCCTGGTGGCTCAGTCAGTAAAGAATCTGCCTGCAATGCAGACCACCTGCAATGCATGAGACCACCAACAATGCCAGAGACCACCTGCAGTGCAGGAGACTCGGGTTCGATCCCTGTATTGGGAAGATCCTCTGGAGAAGGAAATGGCAACCCATCCCCATATTCTTGCCTGGTAAATCCCAGGAATAGAGGAGCCTGGCAGACTATAGTCCACCGCGTCACGAAAGAGTCAGATAAAGCTTAGCAACTAAACCAGTACCACCACCAAGCCTCGTTCACGGATGTTTGTTGACATATCAAAATAATTCCATTAAAAGTCAGCTTCAAAAAACCTCTCACAGATTAAGTCCCAAATAGAGCATTTTGTGGGACCACAGCATTTCAGTCATCATATTAATGATGTTTTCAAGTCAAATTGTCACGTTTCATTACTATTGACCAAAGGCCATGTTACAGTTTACGAATACCAGATACAAAGACCGCTGCCCATGCAGGCATCATATTGGTTAGAATATAGAATAAGAAAGAGGTTCTGAGCAGCCAGACACATGATATGCTATGCAGAGGTAATTCCAAAGGAGAAAACTTCAGATAAATATTACACCACTTTGACTCTACCGTAGGGGTTCATCTAACTAGGTTTGCTTTTCACAAAAGGAAAGAAAAAGACTTAATATTAAACAAGTTACTTCTTCTAAAATTGGACTTGAATTGAGTCCTAGTTAGAATCGGTTGAAGAATTCCCTGACACAGGTTAAGAAACAAGAAGGGGAGAAAGCAAATGTTGTGAAAGAGTAACTGACTCAGAAATCTAAAAAATATATATAGTACCCAGACCAAGGGAGTTTTTATTCCAAGTTTTTGCAAACTTTTAGCAACAAAACTCTTATCTCTTTGCGACCCCATGGACTGTAGCCTGCCAGCCTCCTCTGTCCATGGAATTTTCCAGGCAAGAATACTGGAGTGGGTGGACATTCACTTCTACAGGAGGCCTGCCCAACCCAGGGATCAAACCCTGGTCTCCTGCACTGCAGGCAGATTCTTTACCATCTGAGCCACCAGGAAATCACATTAAAGAATCTCTTAATACCCCAGCTAAACTGATATAGGAGCTTAAAAGATGCATATTGGCAATATCATGTTTTCTACAGTAAATATAAAAGTCAGAAGAGGCATATAAGACCCACAATCATTTCTAATATGTCATATATTGCCCCCTTCACCTTTTCCTGTTCTGCTTTTGAATTGAGCTTTGTAAAATTGCTCACATCATTTTACACAAACTTGCACAGACCTGAATTCAAGAAGAAACCAGTGTAGAACTACAACATTCCAAATTGGTGACATATTTACAAGAAGTTGAAATATGGTCACTGAGATGACAAGAGAAACTGTGCTTTGAGCCTATTTGAGACCAAGTAAGCCAGGCTATGTTATTGGTCTCCAACATGTTAAAATGTGACACATGAGCCATTTGAGGGTGATTATTAATCTATGGTGGGTTTGAAGTAAGAGATTAAATACATTTAGAGGGGAAAAATGCTGAATCAAATGTTTGCAGAGTCCCCAACAACCCTCTGGAAAAGTTGAGGCTTTCCTGGAGTGCCACTGGAAAGCATTTGATAGGAAAAACTGTTGTAAAGCTTGCATGATTCAGTAGATTGAGAAAAAAATAAAAGCTAATATATGTTTAGCAATTAATTCTGTGCCTGCTGCTGTGCTAAGTGCATAACATGGATAATGCCTTGAGTCATCACAATGACTTTGTGGGGTATTAACTTTATTTTAACAAGGAGGAAACTGACATTTCACAGATTAAACATATTTTTCTTGAGCCAAGTGATAGAGCCAGGTGGTGACCTAGTTAAGTAGAGTGAGCTCTTTACTATTGTCACTCTGTATTACCTGAGATGTGTTTGAGTAATATAGCCAGTGGAGGGTAGAGAATATTTTGCTAGAAAATATAGTCATGATGATTGGTACCTGTTGCTCAGTGATGTGAATATGTGTGCGGTTTTTCAAACTCTATTCTCGTTTACAGCAAATTATTAGTGTGCCAGATCCCATGATGTGTTATCTCATATGACTGCTCTGAAAGTAAAATGAAATAATTTCTCAATCTTTGGGAGTGTTTTTTGGGGGGTGACCCCAAGTTCCTACTCCTATGCTTTTTCCTGACTTGCATACCTGGGGAATGGAAACTGACTGGGATACTTCTCTGAATGGGTTAGATACCTCTCTGAAACTGATCACATGGGATAGAGAACACAGTGTGATTGCAGAAATCTCTTGTATGTGCTTGTTACTGATCCAGGTATATTTGCTGGCTCTTTCAGAGGGAAGCATCTAAACTTGGGAGACCACGGAAACCATATGTACACTAGACAGTGGGTAGGTGTTTGGAATCAGGCTTCCTTGAGTTCGAATCCTGTTCTGTCTCTTGCTGGCTGTGCAGTTCTGTAAAAGTCCCTTTACCTCTCTGAGCCTCCATTTCTTGTATTTAAAATGGCATTAATACTTTATAAGATTGTTGTAAAATTATAGATCATGTCCATGAAGCTCCTAATAATGCCTGGCAAAATACTAAATGTCCAGTTAATACAGTTATTCTTGGAGGAGACCATGGCAACCTACTCCAGTATTCTTGTCTGGAGAATCCACATGGACAGAGAAGCCTGGCAGACTTCAGTCCATGGGGTCACAAAGAGTCAGACATGACTGAGTGTCTAAGCACATTTCTAATCTTACTAATATAATAATATGTATGTTATTAAAAGTCACCTTTAATAATGAAATGTTATTTGATACTGAGTAATAATCACAAAATAAATCAATATAGTGGTAATGATGTTAACTAAACACACTCAGGAGAAGGGAAACAAGTTTCACATTTTTGGCTGTTTCTCAGTGCAAAGGTTTTCCCATGGAAAGAAGTGAGAAGACATTCTTACCAGACCAATGATGGCTGCTCCAATCCCAATGAGAGGGCTGACAGAGATAATAACCAAGGTCAGTTTCCAACCCTGGTAAAATCCCATCAGGAACCCAAAGATGCTCGTGGTCATGCGCTGAATGAAAATACCCATTTGGTCAGCAATGGCATCATTGATCTTGTTAATATCACTAGAAACAAAAGAGGCTTTGATCACTAAAACTGAATTTGATCAATTCAAATATCTTGCCCAGAAAGTTTAACCTTTTTTTTTCTAAATGTTCCCATTTCTGTATCCCACTGCCCTTGGGAAACTTAGTAGCTTCTCATGTCTTGGAAAATTTGCTGTAGTGTGGAAGGTCGTTAAGCCTCTCCCCTCATAGCGAAGAGAGTTTGCCTTTAATCCAATTTTCCCAACTGATGTTCACTCAACATAGGCAAAGGCTTTTGGAAACCATCTTATTTGTTTCTTTTTCTTTCTCAATATTCAAAAAACTAAGATCATGGCACCCGGTCCTATGACTTCATGGCAAATAGATGGGGAAACAATGGAAACAGTGAGAGACTTTATTTTCTTGAGCTCCAAAATCACTGCAGATGGTGACTGCAGCCATGAAATTAAAAGACACTTGCTTCTTGGAAAAAAAGTTATGACCAACTTAGACAGCATATTAAAAAGCATAGACATTGCTTTGCTAACAAAGCTATGGTTTTTCCAGTAGTCATGTATGGATGTGAGAGCAGGACTTATAAAGAAAGCTGAGCACCAAAGAAGTGATGCTTTTGAACTGTGGTGTTGGAAAAGACTCTTGAGAGTCCCTTGGACTGCAAGGAGATCCAATCAGTTCATCCTAAAGGAAATCAGTCCTGAATATTCATTGGAAGGACTGATGCTAAAGCTGAAACTCCAGTATTTTGGCCACCTGATGCAAAGAACTGACTCATTGGAAAAGACCCTGATGCTGGGAAAGATTGAAGGCAGGAGAAGGGGACAACAGAGGATGAGGTGGTTGGATGGTATCACCAACTCGATGGACATGAGTTTGAGCAAGCTCTGGGAGTTGGTGATGGACAGGGAGGCCTGGTGTGCTACAGTCCATGGGGCTGCAAAGAGTTGGACATGACTGAGTGACTGAACTGAACTGAACTGAAAGCTAACATCCTGGTCTGACATGAAGAACCCTTCTTTCCTTTATATATGCTAAATCTTTTCAGTCTCAAAGTTCTACTCACATACCACCTATTTCATAAAAATTTACATAATCTTCCAGGAAGAAGTATTATCTTCTTCCTGGTGTTTCCATAGCAATGTGATCAATCTCTGTGTGTATGCTTAGTGGTTTAGTCATAACTGACTCTTTGCAACCCACTGAACTATATAGCCCGCCAGGTTCCTCTGTCCATGGGATTTTTCAGGCAAGAAATACTAGAATGGATTGCCATTTACTCCTGCAGGGGATCTTCCTGACCCAGGAATTTAACCTGTGTCTCCTGCATTGCAGGCAGATTCTTTACCTGGTGAGCCATCAGGGAAGCCTCCAATTAATCTGTATACATGTTTTCCTGTATGTGTATGTAATTATTGCTTCCTGCTTATAGGTAGTATAGGAGAGTGGTTAACAGTCCTGACTCTGGCGCCAGACTCTGAATTTAAACACAAGCTCTCAAGAGAACAGCATTGAAACATGTATATTATCTAGGGTGAAACAGATCACCAGCCCAGGTTGGGTGCATGAGACAAGTGCTCGGGCCTGGTGCACTGGGAAGACCCAGAGGGATCGGGTGGAGAGGGAGGTGGGAGGGGGGACCGGGATGGGGAATACATGTAAATCCATGGCTAATTCATTTCAATGTATGACAAAAACTACTGTAATGATGTAAAGTAATTAGCCTCCAACTAATAAAAATAAATGGAAAAAAAAAAAAAGAAGGAAAAAAAAAATAAACACAAGCTCTTCTCGGGCAAGTTACTTAATCTTTCTGTGTCTCAGTTTCCTCATCTATAAAATGTGAATAATAACAGAACCTACCTCAATAGGTAGCAATGAGGATTAGTTAATATATGTCAAGTATGTAGAACAGTGCCTAGCATACTGTAAGTGATCAATATATATTAGCTCTTATTATTTGCTATGTAAGCTCCTTGAGATCAGGAGTTCTGTGGTATACCTTAATGCCTTGCACAGGGTAAGTGCTCCAGAGTATTGGTTGACAATAATTACAGTAAATTCATATTCCAGCAAACTTTCCATAATCTCTTGTCCAGATGGAGCAAACAAGGGTCAGGACTTAATAGCAAAAGGATCTAAGATACTACATGGAGATTAGACAATTGTATTCTAACAAGGATAAGTATCTATTCAAAGTCAAAATAAGTAAAGGCAGAATCAGTGCTGGAGACTAGGGATCCCGATATTCAGTCTGCTTTTATTGTCACTACACTGCTAACTGTCTTTCACGGGACCTCAAATTTCAATAAGATTCAACAGTTCTCATTACTCAGGGCTTGGATCATTCAAAAATTACACGGGATTGAGGGGTACTATTAATGACCCAAACTAATATTTAGGTATGGGCTTTGTGGGTGGCTTAGTAAAAAAAATTCGCTTGCCAATACAGGAGATGCAGGTTCAATCCCTGGATCAGGAAGATCCCCTGGAGAAGGGCTTGGTAACCCACTCCAGTACTTTACCTGGGAAATCCCATGGACAGAGGAGCCTGGCGAGCTGCAGTCCACGGGGGTCACACAGAGTAGGACATGACTTAGTGACTAAACTACAACAAAGTGTTTAGCAATAAGCTGGATTTAAATCCAGTTTTCAGGTTTTGGTTTTTTTTTTTTTCCAGTTTTCAGTTTAAATCTTTCTCAAACTATTTAGAATTTTTTGCTTTTGTTTTTATGTGCAGAAATTACATCAACAGACAAAACAAGATATTAATCATTCATTCTGATTGCATTGTTTTCCTTATGGGGACATAGATTGTGACATCCCTCAGTTTCTCCTTTCAAGGCCAGATGACCCTACTTCTTTTAAACTGTCTTCCGTAATACTTCATTTCTAATATTTTAATCCAGGACCTACAAACAAAACTGTCATATCCCAGCTTTAAATTTTTAATAGTCATATTTGATAAACCATTATCTATGAAAAAGTCATGCTACCTATAAAAGCCCAACTTAGACAAAATGCAGCAAAAAGAACTGAAAATGTTTCTCCAATTGTCATTAATTTAGAAACAAAAGTTTCATTAGAGAAAAATCACACATCCATTAAAATATCCTACCAGGGATTTACCTGGCAGTCCAGTGGTTAAGACTCCATGCTTCCACTTTGTGGTACACAGGTTCAATCCCTGGTCAGGGAACTAGATCTCACATGTCCTGTGGTACAGGCCAAAAAAAGAAAAAGAAAAAAATCCTACCAGCCACTTACTCAGAAAATCTTGTATTCAGCTCTCCCACTGAATTGCAGTCAAACCATCCAATTTCCATCCTCATTATGCTCCTAAAGTAAAATTTTCTCATTTTCTGTATCTGACGAGCTGCAGCAATTACCCAAAAGCATATCTGGAAATGGAGCAAGGAGTGTTTAGCATTGTGATAAAAACAGGCATTAATTCCTTCTCTTTTCATTAGAAAATACTTTCACTAGAACAGCTCAAAAAAAGGGGAAAGTAATTCACAACATGCCTCTTGTTCAGAACGAAAGTGTAAGCTCTGACATCTGCAGCTGAGAGTCGAGACAGGTGGAACCCTGTGAACAGGGAAGCCAGAGCCTTGAGTTTGAATCCAGCTTGACCACTTCCAGAGTTAACCTTATTAACCATCACTCTCCTCATGTGTAAAAAAAGGCTCATCACACCAAAAGTAAATAATTACTCTTAAATCACTACTTTTGCATGCCACTTCCAAGTAAAGTTTTCTCCTGAGAGGCCTGCCAATAAGCATGCCTGCCGAGTTTTCAACCCTGGAAGAGGACATGGTAATCCACTCCAGTGCTCTTGCCTGGAGAATCCCATGGACAGAGGAGCCTGGTGGGCTATGGTTCAAAGGGTCACAAAGAGTCAGACATGACTGAAATGACTTAATATGCATGCCTGCAGTTTTCAAGCTCTTGGACAATGATTTTCAGAAAAATGTAAGACAAAAATTATGACATAAGCAGGGAATCTTGCCTACAGTTTCCCTCCTGAGCCAACGAAGCCTGTCATTAAAGCTTTAGTGCCAGGATAGTGGGGAGGGGTGGGGGGGGAGGATTAACTCATTTCTCTTTATAACTAAAACTAACTTCCTGGAATTCATAAGTGAATTTAGAGTAGGGGGAATTTATTATTTTCTCTACATGAAAAGGCAAAAGATAAAATGTTTTTCTTCCTTAGTAAGAGTTAAATAACACCAAGCCCTCCCATAACTGAAATCTAGAATATGGGTTCGGTTTACAGAATTTGGGTTGGAATTCAAGAGAAAAAAGAAAGTCAACCTTGCTTTCCTCCAATTCCCCACATCCGCTTTCCACAGGGACTCAGTCTCCCTGTATGAAAACATCCTCCACTATTTCTGAGTTTAGAAGAGAGAGTGAAGCAGGGAGGGCAGGGGAGGACAAGACACTGAAGCTGAATGTCTGTTCTCTACCTCTCTACGCAAGTGCCCATATCCTCCTCCCCAGCTGAGAGGAAAAATTCTTTCCCATCCTCTTCATCCCCCTGAAATAAAACTGTAGCCCTTGGGGCTTCTGAATAACTTTAAAGAACACATTTTGCATTTCATTGTCATGTCTTTGAACCCAGATGTTGATCTATAAATAAAAGGCAGGTGTCACTAACTTGAAAATATCCTGTGACAAGCACTCCAACAGCGACGCCAGCATAGTAACTGGCAAAGTTGACCATTTCAGCTTCAATGTCCATAAACCTTCAAAAGAGGGGAAAAAATAGTAAGACTCACAGGTAGGATCTAGCTACCAAAGACTGGCTTTGTGCGTACAGAGGGTTTTAAAATACACATATATTTAAAATATATGCATTGTATGTTACATACATATTGCAAATAAAATGAATAAAGCACTTTATCTGTGTAGAATTACAATCAATCCAAATCCCCAAACAGACCTCACGGTACCCATCATAGCAAACATGCCTACTTCCTTCGTGTTTACTGGTAGAGATGTGAGGGTTGCGTAGTAATTAATAGGCAGCTGTGGGAAGATAGGGGACCCTAGATGGCAGCCTAGAGCTCTGTCACTGAGGCCCCTTTCACTCGTGGTCATTACTAGTGAAAGCACAGTCACAGCTGGAGAAGGATTTCAAAAAGCCAGACCAGTGTCTGCAAAGGCACTGGTAAAGAGATATGTGCTGTAAATCAGCACACAGGAGCCGTGGATTCAATCCCTTGGTTAGGAAGATCCCTTGGAGAAGGAAATGGCAACCCCTTCCAGTATTCCTGCCTGGAAAATTTCATGGTCAAAAGAGCCTGGTGGGCCCACGTCTCCTGCATTGGCACACAGATTCTTTACCGCTGAGCCACATCATCCCATAGGGAGAGAAAAACAATTTCTTCTCCAAGTCTTTCTGCTGACCACAGCCCAGAAAGCTTTGCTCTCTAGGACAATCTCTAAGGGTGAAGTCAAAGAACTTGAGAGGAGGCAAGAAAGCTATACAGCATTTTCCCATCACAGCTATCACATTGTGACACAGGGTTTGGAATTGGCAGGAGCAGGAAAGGGAGAAAAAAAATGATTCTGAAATTGTTTTTGGGAAATAAGCTTTGTCACTGGAAAATTAACACATTGGTTGATGATACATCTGAGCCACGGAGACAAACTAGATATGCATTTCTTTAGAGAATCAGAAAGTAGCATCTTTAGCCTAGATGTTCTTATTCTACCAGCTTTCTGCTATCTATCAGCCTTCCTTTTTGACCCAAGTTTGAATTGTTTTCTCCCTCTACTGAATTCAGACAAAGTATTTAATTATGGTTTATTTAATTCACAACAAACTACTATTCCATGGCAGATTTTGTTGCCATTTTGCACTATTATTCAATATTTTTATTGGATATATTTATTTTGAGTATATTCATGTTTCTCTTGCTAGTAAACTGCAAGTGACTTGAGAGAAAAGACTGCTTGCTTTCACTGCTGAGGCCTGTTACAATACCTTACACTAGTAGGTACTCAATTGTTTCTAGATTTTTCTTTCACTTGAAAAATACTTAAAAGGAAGGAAACAACTGCCTTAGTCTTTCTGACAGTCTCCAAACCAGCTAATATGTCTGTGTTTACCACATTCCTAATTTTTCATGATGATTTAAGGGGACCCCCAGAGTGAACAAGATCTAGAAAATCATAAACTTATATATAAGTATCCACAATCAGAGGCCTTTTCAAAAACTAAATACCTACAAAGATACAGTATATAATGTAGTATTATGAGTATTATGTGTATTGTCACCCTGCTTATTTAACTTATCTGCTTATTTAACTTATATGCTTTTAACTTATATAAGTTAAAAGCAAATATTTAACTTATTTGCATAAATAAGCAAATAAATATGCTTATTTAACATATATGCATATGAGTACATCATGAGAAATGCTGGGCTGGAAGAAGAACAAGCTGGAATCAAGATTGTCGGGAGAAATATCAATAACCTCACATATGCAGATGACACCACCCCTATGGCAGAAAGTGAAGAAGAACTAAAGGGCCTCTTGATGAAAGTGAAAGAAGAGAGTGAAAAAGTTGGCTTAAAGCTTAACATTCAGAAAAATAAGATCATGGCATCCAGTCCCATCACNCGGACACGACTTAGCGACTGACTGGAACTGATGAGTAAAGATTTCTAATGTATAAATGAGTGCATGCTCTTAGTTTTCTGTTTGTGAAATAAAATTTGTGTGTCCCCCAAACAGAAAACTATGAGAATTTGTCAAAAAGTTTTACTTAGATTCCCTCAGATGCATTTATTCTACAGACTATGTAAGCAGAAGTGAGAGAGTGCCTGTCATGAAAAATGCAGCTGCCAGTCATGGACGAAGGTTGCTGAGCATTGACCCAGCTGTGGGATTTACTGGAGCAAAGTTCAGGAGAATTGCATCACTGTTGGGGGGTGTGGATAGGAACATGTGTGGTTTGTGGTTCTTCTCACTTGTGAGGCACCCCAGAGATGAATCATTAACTCAGTTTTATTTATTCTGGGAAGAGTCATTAGAGTTTTAAAGACTATTTTGGAATATTTCTGGAACAACAGGGCAAGCCTATCAGAAAAACTGTTAGGAAGGAAAACAGGAGATTGACTTGGATCCTTTGATTGCAGATCAGACTCTTTGTCATCTGCATGGTGGAAAACTATCATGACTATAAAATCCTAGAAAGTATTCTATAAAGTTTATAGGTGATTTGAGTGTCTTTCTTTTTAACAGCAAAATTGACATATGCCTACTTGAGTAAATTAAGATTGCCCTGACACATTTGTCAAAGAGAGAAGAGGGGAGAAAAATATCAATTAGAAGGAAAAGGTAAAATAGATGATATGAGGATTCTTGAGGATTTTACAATGATATGAGGATTCTTGCCTTGCTTTTTATGAAAAATGAGATAAATAAAATTGAATCACTCAATGACCCTGATGCTGGGAAAGACTGAGGGCAGGAGGAGAAGAGGGTAATAGAGGATGAGATGGTTGGATAGCATCACTGACCCAATGGATATGAGTTTGAGCAAACTCCAGGAAATAGTGAAAGACAGGGAAGCCTGGTGTATTGTAGTCCATGGGGTCATAAAAAATCGGACACGACTTAGCAACTGAAAAACAGCAATGTATACCAAGGTTTCAGATGTACTACAGCCTTAGGTTTCTCATTGAAGATACCTAGGAGATCTTTATGACAAGATGCATTGACTCACCAGAAGCTCTCCTTTCACTAGGGTTTTTACGAACTGTAGGGGTTCATAGGGGTTCTTATGAACCGTAGACTCAGTAGCACTGACACCTTAGAGCAGGTCCCCAACCTCTGGGCCTCATATGGATACCTCCCATTAGCTCAGTGGCAGCATTAGGTTAGAAACAAAGTGTACATTTATTGTACTTGAATCATCTCGAAACCATCCTCCCCACACCTAATCCATGGGGAAAAAATGTCTTCCACAAGATCAGTCCCTGGTGCCAAGAAGGTTGAGGACTGTTGCATTAGAGTGAATATCAGTGGCAACCCAACTGGTAGAAATGCATGCATATCTTACTTCCAAAATATCAAAGGATCCGTATTCCTCAATGCGTGGGACATTGACCTATGGACAAATGATTTATTACTAGGTAAAACTGCTTTATAGAATACCCTCACACTATGCTAGCACATTGCCAGAATGGCTAATGCAATTGTGAGATATATTACAGAGAGATTATGCATGCCCTTTATCTAGTTTTCTCCCAGTGGTAACATCTTGCAAAACTATCGGACATTATCACAACCAGGATGTTGACTTCGATACAATGAGGAGCAGAATATTTTCTTCATTCAAAGGTTCCTTATGTCAGCCTTTGATATCTACACATATTTCCATCTTTCTCACATTTCTGGAGACCAGAAGTCTGAAATTCAGTCTCACAAGATTGAAATTAAGGTGCTGGTGGGGATGCACTTCCTCCAAAGGCTCTAGAGGAGAATCTGTTTCTTCCTCTTCCAGCTTCAGGTAGCTACAGGGGTTCCTGAGCTTGGGACCTCACTTCAGTCCCTTACAGGCAACTTTTGTCTGTTTATCTCTCTAAAGTCAGATCTCCTTCTGCCTCTTTTTAGTAACTGTCTCTTTAAAAAATACTTGTGATTGTAGTTAGGGCTCACCTGGGTAATCCAGTATAATCTCCCCAATCCCAAGATATTTTAGTTAATTATATCTGCATAGACTCTTTTTCCCATACAAGGTAACATTCACAGAAATATCGTAGATATCTTTGGAGGCCATTATTCAGCCAACTGGAGCTATAGTCAACACTTCCCAGGTGGCTCAGTGGTAAAGAATCCACCTGCCGATGCAAGGAGGTGCAGGAGATTCAGATTCAACCCCTGGGTCAGGAAGATCCCCTGGAGGAGGAAATGGCAACCCACTCCGGTATCCTTGCCTGGAAATCTCAGCTCATACGGTGGCAAAGAGTCAGACACAACTGAGCACGCATGCATGCATGGAGCTACAGTCAAGACATAGATAATAACAAGTGTTGGTGAGAATGTGAAGAAACTTGAACCCTCACACCTGTTAAGTGTTAGTCACCCAGTCATGTCTGGCTGTTTGTGACCCCATGGACTGTAGCCCACCAGGCTCCTCTGTCCATGGGATTCTCCACACAAGAATACTGGAGTGGGTTGCCATTTCCTTCTCCAGGGGATCTTCCCAACCCAGGAATTGAACCCAGGTCTCCTGCATTACAGGCAAATTCTTTACTGTCTGAGCCACTCAGGAAGCTCATAAAAAGGTACAGCCACTTTGAAAAACAGTCTGGAAATTCTGCAAGTGGTTAAACGTATAATTAACATCTGACCCAGTAAATCCCCTTCCGAGGTATCTACTCAAGAGAAATGAAAACATATGTCCATAGGAAACCATGTACACAAACGTTCGTGGCAGCATTTGTAATAGCTGAAAAGAGGAAACAACTCAAATGTCCATCAACTGATGAATGGATAAACCCACACATTATATCCACATAATAAATGTATTATATTCATACAATGAAATGTTATTCAGCAATTAAAATAAATGAAGTATTAATTTACGCTAATAATACCATATGGATGAACCTTGGAAACATTAGGCTAAGTTAAAGAAGCTGGTCACAAAGGCCCACATATTGTATCAATCTATTTACATGAAATGTCCAGAATAAGCAAATCTACAGAGATGGAAAGTAGATTAGTG